TGGTAATTACATAAAAATTTTAGTCCAAAAATTCTTAAAAGCACATATTCTAAGAAAATTATCTCTCTTTATCTCTGTAGCTCTTCATTTAAAAAAAAAAAAATACACAATTCAAGAAAAGCAGATAAGAACTTTTATAAAAGCTCCTCCTAGGAACTGTTATCTATTTTCTTCATTATAAAAAAAGAAGTTTTTATTATAAAACATTTTCTCAAAACCTGTTTGGCCTAACTTATGTTTATAAATTGCTTCTAACTTAAAAAAAACATCCAAACACACACTGTCCAGCAATTATGACACAATCAGACACTCCGTTCCATATATGCTGCTAAATATGGAAATTTCTACAATACTACTATCTTACCCAATTTTCTGTACATATCTCCAATAAAAATTAAACACCTATACTCATTGATGACATGAAAGAGAGAAAAGCAGTGTATTAAAGACAAGTGTTTAATTTTCAATAGGAGTAATACATACTACTGCTTTACTAAAGATGAGCTCGCTAAATATGTGATTCTTATATCTTCAATAATGATGATAAATTAGGCCAATAGCACATATCCTTTCGAGTATGAACTAGACGTCACTTTTGTCTATTACAATAATATATATATATATATATATATATATATATATATATATATATATTATCAATATTAATCACTTAAATTATGTGTAACTAAATTATGTGTAGTTGAAAACTTCAATGCACATTTGTCTCATATAACTAATTTACAATGCCATTATTCAATCATAAATAAGTGTATATAAATATAGGGTTAATATTTTTTCATGCTACATGAGAAAATAGTTTTTTCCTACATACACAATTCAAAGGTGGAGCCTACTTTATACTTTTTCTCTCTTATCTATTCTCCCTCCCCTCTCCTTTATTTTGTGAGTATAGGAGATTAATCTTTTCTCATGTATCATGAGAAAAGATTATCACATAAATGTATAATAATCTACATTGATTACCTATATTTATTTCAATTTATCTTCTACAACATGAAATATATATATATATATAGGGGTAAACATTTCTACAGCCACTTTAGATAAAGTTATCTACAGCTATCCCAAAAACTACGTCGTTTTGATTAATGAAAGGTGTTTATGTAATTTTAGGTGAATTGTTGAAGGGTGTTTTCGTAATTTTTTTTTTTTTATATTCATTTTACAAAAACACCCTTCATTAACTCACTTAAAATTACAGAAACACCCTTCATTAATCAAAATGACGTAGTTTTTGGGTAGCTAAAGATAACTTTATCTAAATTGGCTGTAGAAATATTTTTTTCCATATATATATAATACTAACTTCACACACACACACATATATATATATATATATATATATATATATGTGTGAATAACATCTCGGCCTTTAAGGCAGAGAATTTCTACCTGCCTCATAGAGAAAAATCAAGTGGGTCATCATCTCTATTTTTGTCTTTTATTGATTTATACTATCTCTCTCTCTCTCTTGGTTTTTCTATTTGGCAGATAGGAATTCTCTGCCTTAAAGGCATATGTTATTATATATATATATATATATATATATATATATATATAGGATCCTTTGGCACAAGTGTCAAATTTGAATTTTGACACCTCATTTGAGAGCCATTAGATAAAAAAAGATCAATGGTGCCACACGCTTACAAATTAGAATCGTTGATATTTTTTGATCTAATGGCTCTCAGATGAGGTGTCAAATTTCAAATTTGACACCGGTGTCAAAGGATCCTACCTCACACACACACACATATATGGGGTATGATCTTTTGACACATGTGTCAAATTTAAAGTTTGAAATCTCATCTGAGAACCGTTAGATAAAAAAAAATCAACGACTCTGATTTGTAAGCATATGACACCATTGATCTTTTTTGATCTAACGGCTCTCAGATGAGGTGTCAAACTTTAAATTTGACAACGGTGTCAAAGGATCATAACCATATATATATATATATATATATATATATATATATATATATATGTGGTAAAATCATTTCTGCAGCCGCTTTACGTACAACAACGATAGGTGTATGGTTATGATTCTCTACATTTAATGCTTTCATCCTTTGTATGGTTATGGTTCCCCGCATTTAATGCTTTCAAGTATATATATTGCAAGTATTTGATTGTTGCACGTACAACAGCTGCAGAAATGTAAATCCCTATATATGTATATAATAAAATCATTTCTGCAGCCGCTTTACGTACAACAACGAATGATGTATGGTTATGATTCCTCACATTTAATGCTTTTATCTTTTGTATGGTTGTGATTTCTCGCATTTAATACTTTCAAGTATATATATGGCAAGTATTTGATTGCTGCACGTACAACAGCTGCAAAAATGTAAACCCATATATATATGTATGGATTTATCGTTTCTCAAGCAGCTTGAGATAATCTTATCTTCGGCTACTAAATCTTAACTGTACAAAGATGGATCAATGGTAATAAAGAAAGAGAAAAAAAAGGAATCATAACCATTCAAAGGTGAATCAATTAATATAAGGAAATAAATAAATAAAACGACGTAGTTTTGGGATAGCCGGAAATAAACTTATTTCAAGATGCTTGAGAAATGTTTTTCCCTAAATATATATATATATATGGTAAAATCATTTCTACAGCCGCTTTAGGTACAACAATGGCAGATGTATGATTTTGATTCCCCACATTTAATACTTTCATTCTTTGTATGATTATGATTCCCTGTATTTAATGCTTTCAAGTATATATATGGCAAGAACTTGATTGTTGCACGTACAACAGCTGCAGAAATGTAAACCCTTATATATATATATATATATATATATGGTAAAATCATTTCTGCAACTGCTATACATACAACAACGGAAAATGTATGCTTATGATTCCCCACATTTAATGTTTTCATCCTTTGTATGATTATGATTCTTCGCATTTAATGCTTTCAAGTATATATATGGCAAGAATTTAATTGTTGCACATACAACAACTGCAGAAATGTAAACCCCTATATATATATATATATATATATATATATATATATATATATATGGTAAAATCATTTCTGCAGCTGCTTTACGTACAGTAACCACAGGTGTATGGTTATGATTCCCCACATTTAATGCTATCATCTTTTGTATGGTTATGATTCCCCGCATTTAATGGTCATAACCATACACCTGTCGTTGTTGTACCTAAAGCGGCTGCAGAAATGATTTTACCATATATATATGGGAAAAATATTTCTGCAGTTACTGCAGATAAGTTATCTGCAATTATTCCCAAAACGACGTCGTTTTGGTATTGAAATCTTAAAAAATTATAGATATAAAGACTATTATAACTCTGAAATAAATTAAAATTACAAAAACACCATGATTTCCGTCCCAAAACGACGTCGTATTGGGCTTACTGCAGATAACTTATCTACAGTAACTGCAGAAAAAGCGAACCCTATATATATATATATATATATATATATATATATATATATATATGGAAAAGTTCTATTTATAAACTAAAAGTTTACAAACTCTTACAAATTATACAAAATATGACCGAACAGACTTAGTGTAATTTATAAAAAAAAAATTATAAATGAATCATTCCTCGTATATATATATATATATATCGTAACACTTGATATAATAATGATTACTTATTTATTATTAGGAAATATTTTTTCTGCTTCAAAAGCTGAAAAAATACAAAAGCATAGAGAAAAAGCAAAAATAATGTGAGAGAAAGCATATGATGGGGGTTCGCTCCAACTTATATTTCTACGGCAGAATATTTTTTCTGCTTAGAAATGATATTCCCTTAATATTATGTTGATTACTTATTTATTATTTATTATTAGGAAATATTGTTTCTCCTTCAAAAGCTGAAAAAATACAAAAGCATATAGAAAAGGAAAAAATATTTCTGCAGTTAATGCAGATAAGTTCTCTGCATTTATTCCCAAAACGACGTCGTTTTGGGATTGAAATCTTAAAAAATTATAAATATAAAGACTATTATAACCCTGAAATAAATTAAAATTACAAAAACATCATAATTTTCGTCACAAAACGACGTCGTATTGGCTTATCTGCAGTAACTGCAAAAAAAAGCAAACTCTATAGAAAAAGCAAAAATAATGTGAGAGAAAGCATATGATGGGGGTTCGCTCCAACTTATATTTCTGCGGCAGAATATTTTTTCTGCTTAGAAATGATATTCCCTTAGTATTATGTTATCGCAGTTAAATGTGGGATATGTTCTTCTAAATATAAATTCGTGGAGAGTTATAATTATAATTTTTTTTTTACAAATTATACTATATACTAGGGTAATAAACTGTGTGCTGGACTGTACTATTCTTAATACATAATGTAATTTATAAGAGTTTGTAAACAAAAAATTTATAAATTAATTTTTCTCTACAAACTATAAACATAAAATTTACAAATTAAAACAAACGAGAAAAGTAAAATAAGTATAAAAAAATAAAAGAATAAAAACTCTTTTGGTCCTCAATAAATTTTACGACGCCCGCTTTAGTCCCAGCAAATAAAAAGGCTATTCATGGTCCCTAAGAAATTCAAAGTGGACCCATTTAGTTGAAATCGCGATCCCTCACAAATTCAAAAAAGACCCACGTTAGTCTCGTGATCCCTCATAAATTCAAAAAAAACTTTCGTTAGTTCCTCAAAAAGACTAAAATGGTCTACTTTAGATTTTTTTAGGATCACGAATAACCTTTTTATTTGTTAATTACTAAAGCGGACATCGTAGGATTTGTTGAGGAGCGAAAATGTATTTACTCAAAATAAAATAAAAAAGACGCAAACGTATTTCCTTGTTTTCTTAAGCCCTCCCACACAGGGACGCAGCAGATTCCGAAGCGTGTTTTTCTCCCTCGTAGACCAGACGTGTTCAATGTTTCATCCAAACAAAGAAAGACAATAAGCTGAACTTGCTGGGAAGAACATTAAGAGGTTGAGCGATGAGTAGCATCAGAAATGCAGGGTTAGAACCACAATCGGCGGCGGAAAAAGCAGTGGGTGCGATTGGATTGGGTTACGATGTGCTATCGGACATTCGTTTTTCTGGTTGCAGGTCGAGGCTGGTGGAACTTCACCGGAATGAGACGAGGGACCTGGTGGTTCCCGGCGGCGTTATTGTTCCCAACGTCCCCACCTCCGTCAAGTGCCACCCAGGCGAGCGATTCAGGATTTCTTCCGAGCTCCTCTCCTTTCAACAGGTATCTATTATTAATTAATTTTGTGTGTAAAGTTCTTTTTGAGATCCTAACAAAAAGATACTATCCCATTTTCATTCTTTACAAAAAAAAATCCATGTTAATCATTATTAAGAATTAAGTTGGGCTTTCATTGAATTTATAAAGGATGATAATTTCAAAGAACTGAAATTGCAGGAGGATCAAAAGTTGACTTTTTTTTGTAAAAGACTAGAGAAAGGACATTGATTGTTTTTTTATAGGACCCAGAATTAGCTTTACTCTAATTTTTTTAGTAGACTAACAACTTGTTTGGATAAGCTTTCAAAAAAATGACTTTTTATGCATTGTTTTTTTTAAAAGAATTTTTTTAATAGGTAAAGTTATTTTAAGTAAAAAAAGTTTTTGGATATTAAAATAAAATAAAAACACTTTTTATACATAAAATTATAATAAAAGAGAGATAAAATAGCATGACCGTAGAATAAGAGAGATAAAATAGATATGGTAGGATGAGATTAAAAATGTATTTTAAAAATTTATATTATCTTTTTTTCCAAAAAAAAATTATATTATCTTTTAATTTCTGTTTTTTTTTTTTAAAACAATCAACAACTGGTTAAAAAACGTAGTATTTTAGCTTTTATTTTAATTTTTTTTTTTTTAAAAATTGTTATTCAAATATCTGAAAATTTTCAAAAGTATTTTTATTTTAAAGAAAAAGAAATTTTTTTAAGAATAAAAGACTATTCAAACGAGCACTAATTAATTCACTATCTTACTCACTTACTGCTTCCTTTGGTTTTTTTGGAAATACATACAGAAAATACTTAGATAATGTTATAGACATAATTAATATGGACCCCATCATTTTTTTTAAATGACGAGGTCTATATTAATTGTATTTATAATATTTTCTAAGTATTTTCTTACAAAATGACATATGTATTTATATATATTTTTTTTTATATAAAAGAGAATTGAATAATAATTTAGTAGAATTTACTCAAATCTTTTTTTATTATTATTAGTACAATTCTAGTGGGGTTATAGTCACTCACAGTTTCCTTAAATTGTAGCGACTCGTGGTAAAAAATGACATGTCAATACTTCTAAGTTACATGGTTATTAATGCGAAGAAAACTTTTGCCGGCAGCATAAACTGTTATTTGATATTCATTCAGGGAATATTGTTTCCGATGTTTAAATGGATAAAAAAATATGAGAAATAGTTGTCTTATATTATATAAAAAGAAAAAGATTCATTTACAAATTACATTAAGTCTGACTGATCTTATACTTTTGATTGAAGTATGATTGATCAGACATAATATAGTTTGTAACAAAATTTTTGTAAATATAATCTTTTCTTATATAAAATAGTTGTTTTATACTATGTATTCAGGAAATTTTATGCCCATTTTCTTTTCTTTTTTTAAAATTATGAGCCTTACAATTTTATTTAGCCCACATAAGATATTAATCGTATGTAACATAAGATTAATAACTCTCTAAAATTATTTCATAAAAAATAAAAAATTGGTAAGACCTATTAAAAAAATTAGAGAGAAAGAAAATAAATGGATTCCACTTGCTTTTATGTATGCATGAAACAAAATTATCTCAACACTATATTCCCATTAATTTATTATTGTCATTACATAATTATTTATTTCATCATATAATTTCTCAGTTAACTCTTTTTCATTTACACATCTACGGCATGACCTGAGCGATGAGTGTGACATAAAAAATCACATAAATCTGTTTAGCTGTAAAGACTTAATTAAATTAAACATGAAATTATAAGATTTAAGAGTTTAATTTTGACATATTGATTTGTAATGATGTGACGATATCATTAAATAAAGATATATAATTTATACTAATGACATATTCAAATTAAATTCAAGAATTTGATGGATAATTTAACTCCTTTATATACTCTTCTTCATCTAAGGCGCATTCTTTTCCGGCTTTTATCTGGTAAAGTAATACTCCGACATTTATGCTTTATCGATTGTTTGGTTATGATTTTAACTAATGCAAACATGAAATGTTTATTTTTAAGGGTAATACTTCTCTCGTTTAACATGAGAGAAGTTTTTTTTCTTACACTAATAAGAAATGTGGAGCCCACAAGTTAAAGAAAAATAAAAATTTAAAGAAATTGCAGGCACGTCTTTTTATGTTTATGTGACATGAGATAATTATCTCCTACAGTTGGAGAAAACAATTTCTCTTATTTTTAATGCATTTTTTATGCTTTTGGTTTTGGATAACATTTATACAGAGAAAGTTTATTTTTCAGATTACTCGACGGAGGGGTTTGAAAAAAAGTAAAAATGTACCCTTTTCATATTACCCTTTTATTACTTCCTGTTTTCATCTGAAATATTAAGAATTGATTCTTAATTTTTGAGCAATTAAAATTGTAACAACGCTCTTTTCATCAATTACTCATTTTAAACATGGGATAGGTTATTGTGCCTACTCCCATTTTACCTACCTTTGCCTACCCCTTTCATTACCATTCGATTACGATCTAATCCAACGGTCCATATTTGCGAAATAAAATAAACATTTTTTCCCTTTCTTTCCCTTCCTTCCTCCCTCACATTTTCTCTCTCCTCTCCTTTCTCTCTTCCGCCGTACTTTTTTTTTTCCTTCATCGCCAAAAACACAGTCATGTTTCACTCCAATGAAGGCAGATAATCTATCAAAATTACTGCCAAAGCATAGGCAGAACTGCTTATATTTTCATATATGCTAATGCAAGTCCTCAGAGTCCCGTAAGTAATTTCCATTTCTTTTCTTTTTTTTGTCCCCATGTGTAAACCCTATATTAACACATGAATGAATAATCAATCAATGCTTTGCAGGATTACTTATTTTAGAAGTTTAGAACAGATGAAAAAGAATCTCTAGTCGACTAAGTTTACATGAATTGGGCTGCGTTAATTTCATCTTTACTTTTGTGGAAATAAAGGCTTCAAGATATATGAACATAACTTGATGTCACAAGCTATAAAAAAAAATTGTTCGACAGACACAAGCGATTAACGGGTTTGAAGAAAAAGGAAGGTTTTTTTTTAAAAAAATTCTCTTTTTTGAAGTTGAAAAGCTTCTCACTTGACGTGGAGTTGGAGAGGGTGGGGGGTTAAAGAGGTCCACGGTGGTAGACACCAATGATGAAGAAAAAAAAATAGGTATAGGATAGTGGAAGAGATAAAGGGGAGGAGAGAGAAAGGGTGTGGGAGTAAGTGAGGGGAAAGAAAGGGAAAAAGGAGTTTATTTTATTTCGCAAATATGGACCGTTGGATTAGATCATAATCGGATGGTAATGAAAGGGGTAGGCAAAGGTAGGTAAAATGGGAGTAGACACAATAACCTATCCCATATTACCCTTTTCATATTACCCTTTTATTACTTCCTGTTTTCATCTGAAATATTAAGAATTGATTCTTAATTTTTGAGCAATTAAAATTGTAAACACGCTCTTTTCATCAATTACTCATTTTAAACATTTGAAGTATTTGAATCGTGCCGGAAAGTCATATAAAAAATTTATTCGAGTCCATAGGATTTTAGATTTTTTTTTTTTTTTGGATACTAAGATTTTAGGTTTTGAATATTCTTTTAAAGAGTTAGTTCATTACTTTTTTGTTTGAGTTATCTATTTAGGGCCGTTTGGATGAGTTTTTAATAAAAGGATTTTTTATGTACTGTTATTTAAAAGTAAAAATTATTTTACTTGTATTCCATAGTATGTATACGAGTAAATATCTACTAAGCAACGGTTATCCTTGTATAGTATGTATAATTTGGTCATAAGATAAAACTTAAAAGTATCTTTGAAGTTAATTTTTACATCAATAGAGTGGTTGAATTAATTTATTTTAGAATTAAAATAGTTTTTTTATCAAAACTCTTTTGAGAAATTATTTTCTTCTTCTTCAAATCTATTCACAATAGTAAACTATATGATATTAAAATGTAAATAACTATTTTAACCTAAAACATTAAGGTGTTAGGTGAAAGTCTTTTTAATGATTTATATTATTCTCTAATATATGCTCTCGCGCAAGAGCCCTTTGACTTAAAGCGCAGATATTGGATAGGCTCAATGTTTGATTTACCTTTTGTGCTTTTATTTAATTCTACTAGAAAGTGAGGAGCGGTAGAGAGCATTAAAGATTGAACTCGTGACCTTATGATCATTGAAACTTTAATATCTTGTAAAGAACCATCACCCAAAATCTTAAAATGTTGGGTGAGAGTCTTATTAATGATTTATATTATTCTCTCTCGTTAGCTTAATGCATTTATAAAAATTCATCGGACACCACTCACATTAGCTTAATGCATTTAGATAAGTTCATTCTACATAGAACACTTTCTCAACGACTACCCTCTGATTTATAATTTTATTTGTATTAATGTATGCAGTATCCCACCCACATACGCCGTAAATATTGCATATAGTGTACGACTACATATTATAAGAGTTAAAATATTATGTATTGTGAGCCTAAGCTTTTTTATATTATTATCTGATGATATTGATATATTAATAAGGGGTTTATGTCTGTAATGTTACAGAACAAAACCCTCAATTTCCTACGGACACAATATCTATGGGGTCCATAGTATATTTCTTTTGAAAAAAGAAAAGCGGACACAATATCTATGGGGTCCATAGTATATTTCTTTTGAAAAAAGAAAAGAGAAGGGCTGGCATTGTTTTCCATGTATCTGTAGGTAAAAAAATTATGTTCCTGTAACATAACTTTTCAATTTCCCTATTAATAAAGGATTTGTTTTTTTAAAATTAATTTATATAACTTTATCTAATGTTCATCGAAACGATATTATTTTGGAACAGAAATTATGGTGTTTTTATAATTTTAATTTATTTCAAAGTTATAATAGTCTTTATCATTCTAATTTTTTAATTTTTCAATCTCAAAACGACGTCGTTTCAATGAACATTAGAGAAAGTTATATAAAGTAACATTAGATTTTTTTTTCCCATTAGTAAAATATTTAGACTTTTTGGATAATAATTGTGATAGCAATTTTTTTAATAAATTTAACAGGGGAGGTTATAGTTACTACCTCTTATTACTAAATCTTAACCGTTGATTTCTGTCAATATAACGGTTGTAATTTATTATGTTATACTTATTAATTAATTATTAATTTTGAATAAATTATAATCGTTAGATTGACAAAAATCAACGGTTAAGATTTGGTAATAAGAGGTCGTTTGTATTGACTTTTGAAAAAAGTGCTTCTTATCACTTCCTTATTTTAAAAGTACTTTTTATAAAAGCTACAGCTATTTAGATTTTTTTAAAAATATTTATTTTTTTAAAAAAATATTTGACTTTTGACTTATGTTTTTTTTAAAAGCTAAAATTTTTAGCTTCCGAAAAAAATATATTTTTGATTTTTTTTATGATTTCTGCTTTTTTTAAAAGCACGCATCCAAATAGAGTTTTTTTGAGAAATTTTTTTTTCCTTAAAATAAACAGCTTTTGAAAAAAAAAAAAAAAAGCCCATCCAAATGGGCCCTAAGAGGTAGTAAGAAAAAGAGGTAATAACTATAACCTGTCCCATTTAACAATAATGGTAAGTTAAAAAAAATTTATGCTACAAATTAAACCCGTATTTTAAAACTGCCACCTACCGTAAATGAAATCGTGTGTAGTTGTGGACAGTTCTGAATTCCGTTGTTTATTGTAAAGAATGTTCATATGACATGATTGCCCATGCAAAAAAGACAACATAATTTGAATGGGGTGAAATTGTTGCAGATGTCTGAGCAATTTAATCAAGAACTATCTTTATCCGGGAAGATCCCATCTGGCCAATTCAATGCCATGTTTGACATGAGGAGAAATTACTGGAAGAAAGCAGCAGCTTCCCCTAAAAGCCTTGCTTTTGATGGCTGGTTCATAACGTTGTATAACGTTGAGTTAGATAGAACCCACAACATAGCTATTTCCGAAAATGTTAAAAAAGAAATACCCACTTCATGGAACGCTGCTGCCCTTGCTGAGTGAGTATAATTGCCCATCTTGTGCCCCTCCCCTATTTTCTACGACTGTTGTTGTTGTTTAAGAAAATGGAATCTATTTGTTTTCTTAACATTTGATTATATTTTAGTAGCTTTTGATGTATTTTGCCATTTTGGATGGATGGATGGATGTCTTTATTATGTTAAATTCCTATTACAATCAGTCACAAGTTTAAATAACATAAAGAGACTGTATAATTTATCATTATATTAACTGCCTCCTAGATGAAGTTAGTTACACTCATTCCTCAATCAATTGAAAAACCTCCGATTTGCATGTTAACATTTCACTTGAATTTTCAATTGTAATTGTGCTTGACTGAACAGCCGTAGTTAATGTTGTCTGTCTTGGTAAGTATAATATGTTGCCTTGGACCTGAATGGTGCACTAAGTGAAACATGATTCTTCAGGTTCATTGAGAAATATGGTACTCATATTGTTGTTGGGGTCAAAATGGGAGGAAAGGATGTGGTTCACATCAAGCAGTTAAGAAGTTCGGATCTTAAGCCCACCGAGGTGCAGAAATTGCTAAAGCATGTAGCTGATGAGAGGTTTTATGAGGATGTAGATAGAAGTTCTAATTGCAATACTGCTGAAATATCAAGAAACCTGGAGGTATAGAGGATTTATTTGATCACCCTCGTTTTTAATTTTCTCTATCAAGGGTCGCATTATTTAAGCTGAATAAAGATGCTATACCTGCCAATTTTTGGATATTTAATAATAGGTGGAATAGAATAGAAAGGGATGAGATGGGGTGGAATAAAATTACCATATGATTGTTTGGATATTTTATAATGGAACGAAGTAAAGTTATCATTTTATTGATTGAAAAGTGGACAGAACCTTAAGAATTATAACTTTATTGAAGTGATTTCATCCCATACCCGAAATTAGGAGGGGAAAAAAATAGAGGTGTCGGATGGAATGAGATATAATAGATTCAATTCCATTTCACCCTATTTTAAACAATCCAAACAATAGTAACTAATGTCATTCCATTCCTCTTCTTTTCATCCATTTCCATCAATCCCAAACATAGGTTCTAGTTTTGCACTTGAGAATCAAGACATGAACATTAAAGGATTCGGATTTTAAAGATATAAAAGTGTACTAGTCCATCTCAGATTAGTTATATGAGATATAACTTTGATGTTAAGGAGAAACATTGAAAAGAGAACAAGAATCCTGAGAGTAATTAGGTGGGAAAAGAGAAAATTTGGCAATGGTGTAACTTGCATTTTTTTTCTTTTGTAGAGTTTGTGTTTAAGAATATTTCTTATGTATAGCTACGATAACCAAAAAGGGAGCGAACCGGAGCAGTGGTAAAACTGTTCCTTCATGACTGAAAGGTCATGGGTTCGAATCCAGGAAATAACTCAATCCGAAACAACTCAAAATGTAAGCACCTAACATTGCTAACAAGGATGGTACATGGAGCTCTATAATTTACACCTTGCACACACTTGAGTGAAACACCTTACTGATAGTAGTTGATTTTCTCATATTGCAAAGGTAGCTGAGTTTGCTTTTTATTTCTCCAAGTAAATTGTTGATGACAAACATACAAACATAATAATCACTGGTAGACCTTGCCATCCCCTATCATTTGGGATCCAACCTATTATGCTTGTGTAAGGCTTCAATTTTCAATTCCTCGAGTTTAACCCTTTCGAGGGGCCGATTTCAAGTACCTCAATCCGAAACAATGCTTTGAAATTCGAGGTTCTAGGTTCATACATGAAGTGGCTTCTTAACCCTTAATGCGTAGACATTGTCACTACTATATGCTGACCTTAAAGGTTGTATGCTGACCTTAGAACTGTTTGAAGAATGAAGTGTGGTCAGCATTCCTGTGGCAATACTCATATGCCATCAAAGCCTTAATATTACACTATGCTTTAGGCAACTATTCATCAATATTAGCATCAACATCACTTTTATCCCAAACTAATTGGGGGCAGGCAACTGTTACAAATCATAAAAATGCTTTCATCAATTTGCAAACTTTTTCTCCCCTGTATTCCATGTAAAGGTTGGTGAGATCTCCATATAAACTTCTTTCTTTCCAAATTCCTATGTGAAAAATTGCATTTTTTTACATCTAAAATCTAATTGTAGATCTCATCCAAGATTTACTGCATAAGATAAATTAATGCTGACTAGAACAGTGTAAGAATGTTGATATTATCTTGCAAAAATTCATTTTATTTCCCTAGATGCTCTGGCACTAAGTTCAAAAGTTTAAAAGAGAATAAAGTTGGTGAGAGGAATAGTAAGGTATCATGAGAGAAACTGAGAACAGGAACCAAAAGTTGTATGTTCTCAGCTTTGCCAATGACCTTCCTCATTTATTGTATTATTTTATTGAGTTTGCATAACAGGAGTATTTCTTATATAATGCTATATTTATCAAAATTAATCCCCAGATAAATGTCACTACTGATATTTGGAAATGCCTATAAATACTTTTTCAGAGGTTTTTTGCTCTCTCTTTTTGGAAGTTTCTTTACTATATAATTTGCCTTTTAAACAGCTCACTTTGTGACCATCTTTGCAGGATGCTCAGGATATGCACTGGAAAATGCATATAGCTCTTGCTGCTTCTGTTAAACCATATGTAGAATGTCACTCCAACAATGATGTTAGTATTTATTACGGTTTTCATATTTCCTCTACACACAATGTAATCGCCCCTGCATCTGACATTTTTTTTAGTTTGGTTGTTTAAACTTCTATTCATACAGGATGTCGTAAGCATTTCTGTTCGAAGGGGAGGTATTGTTGGTGTTGGCCAACACCATAATCAATGGATGTCTACCGTATCACAGTCACCTGATGTTGTATCAATGTCACTTATGCCCATTACGTCACTACTGAATTCTGTTTCGGGCTATGGATTTCTAAGTCATGCAGTGAATTCTTATCTTAGACGTGAGTAAGCATGTTTCTATGTGGCAAATTAGGTCTTTTCCTTTTCATTTATTGGAACTTCTCAGTTTAGGTTGATAATGTTGTTGCTTAAGTTACTGTAGTTGTCTAACACGAACATCATGTGTCAAACTTATCTGGAAGACATTTAGACCAGTGGCGTGAGCTTGTTTAGGGTGTGATCGGTGGGAGAAGTGGAAAATAGAAATGGTTTGAAAATGAAGGGGGATGGAAATATTCAGATTTCCACTTGATATTGTTGGCATATGGCAGAAAATATGGAAAATGAGATGATTGAAAATTATTGTTTAGGGTGGCATTGCATTTTCATCCCATATTTGAGATAGAAATGTTTTCAAACGGATGAAATGCAGAGTTTGGCCCTTCCTTTTTCATTCCTTCCTCTTTATTGTCTTACCAAGCAAGCATATAATGATTTTACTGCTCATTATCAGCCCATACTCTTTCTATCATATTTTAATTCCTAAAAAGTGCCGCAAACTCTGCTTATAATTGCCAATACATATATAGAATATTATTTGCTTGCTTATCATGGGTATTACATAGCTTTCTGTATCATTCAGTTGACTTGAGTCATTCAGATCAAGATTTCTTCGAGCTGAATTGATATGAGTAAGGGGCAAGAAAGACAAATTATAGATAAGGGGTAGTAAATAATCCAATGGTTGAGAATAAATCTGAATTTGTTGTAACAAAAATACTCTTAGTTGATGTATAAAAGGGGAAAAGAGAATTGTGTAAAGGGTGTGGAATAGTGTAAACCCATTTTCTGTTTGGAATGATGATACGGATCCACAAGCTAATGAGACAGAGGGCCCAGAGGAAGAACACCAGCTGGATCCACAGGTCACACCCAAGGCCAGGTGGGCCAAGCGTCACAGAGGCCAGCCCAAATGGATGAGGGATTATCAATTGGGTTAGCATGGGAGCTGATACATAAGATGGGAGCTGCTGCATAGGATAAGTTGGTTGCACGTTTAGGAAGTTGTTAGATGGAGAATTGTGATGTTAGTGTATTGCATTCTGTTATTGCTGTTGTATTCCATTCGTAGTTTGTTGCAAGTCCGTTAGCTGTAGGTGCAGGTGGCACTTTCTGCTGCTTGGCATTTTTCATTACCTGCTTCTGTATATAAGCCTACTGGCTCTAAAAGGAAAATCAAGCAATCAACTAAGTTCTTTTTTTCATCTTTGTTTAATTGTTTTCCAAGGAGGTTCCCACCCTCGAAGTGGGTCTTATTATCTGGTGCTTTCATTGAGAGCGCTGAACATGGCTGGGTCCGCTTCGTCCAACGAGAATATGGAGATCACACTCTCTCGTCTGCTCGAAGCTCATCTCACACTCCAGACAGATATTCAGAACATGACACACCGTATGGTGGCGTTGGAAAATCGACCCCTTCCTTTGGGTCCCCCTCACCTGAATCCGGATCCTAACAATCTCGGACCTGGCCTACGCACCACAATGAAGCTGGACGTGCCACGATTTGACGGATCAGATCCTTTGGGTTGGTCTTTCAAAATCTCTCAGTTCTTTGAGTTTCATAGGACCCCTGAGGACCAGCGATTGCGCATCGCCTCTTTCTATATGGAGGGTGAAGCCTTAGGATGGTTCCAATGGATGCATTCCAATGGCCAATTACACACCTGGGCACAGTTCCTTCAAGCCCTGGATCTGCGATTTGCCCCATCCCAATATGAAGATCCCAGGGGAGCGCTCTTTAAGCTTTGTCAATCGACTACGGTACGAGCATACCAAACACAATTCGAAACACTCGCTAATCGGATCGTGGGTCTTCCTCCCCCTTTCCTGTTAAGTTGTTTTGTTTCAGGGCTCAGGGCCGAAATCCGCCGCGAGGTACAAGCTCTACAACCTACCTCGCTCACGCAAGCCATTGGTCTCGCTCGTTTACAAGAGGAGAAGGTTAATGATGCAAAGAAAAACCTCCACCCAAACGCGTCCGCTGCACCCATCTCCCGGTCACCACCGTCTACCTCGGCCATCACCCCCAAGCCAGATCTGGCATCAAAAACTCGCCCTATGATGAAACGCTTGTCCCCCGAAGAAGCAGCTGCCAGACGCGCCAAGGGCCTTTGCTATAACTGTGATGAGAAGTTTCGTCCTGGACACAAGTGCAAGCACCTGTTCATGATGTTGATAGTTGATCCAGCTTGTGACGATGAGTACTTACCTTCTGAACTTTCCCTTCCCCTGCAACCGTTGGATCCACCTAATGACGTCATTGATGATCAAGAGGCCTTAGTGGGCCAGATTAGCTTCAATGCTCTGGTGGGCCAAACGGCTCCGCGGACCTTGCGCATTAAGGGCCGGATTGGTAAACATGAGCTCTCTATTTTGGTGGATAGTGGGAGTACCCACAATTTCGTCCAAGATAGGATCACTAAATTTTTGGGCTTACAGGCTCAAAAGACCCAAGGCTTTCCTGTGGTAGTGGGCAATGGTGAGGAATTGGAATGCTCCTTAGTCTGCAAGGCAGTACCACTCCATTTTGGGCCTCATCAATTTGATGTGGATCTCCTCGTCCTACCAATTAGTGGAACGGATCTGGTCCTTGGAGTCCAGTGGCTAAAAACCTTGGGACCCATCCTTACTGACTATGGAGACCTTACCATGAAGTTTGTGAAGAATGGAGAGGTAATTCAACTCAAAGGGGCTGTATCTGACGGGCTTAACGAAATTTCCTTGGCCCAATTGAGAAGGATGTCATCCACCCATTTTATTGTGGAATTGTTTCGGCTGGAGATGCTACCTAACCCCACATCACCGCCTACTGCCTCAAACGCACAGCCATGGCTCCTCACCATGCTGAACGAATTCCACCAGCTATTTGCAAATCCAAACGAGCTTCCTCCACCACGCGACGTGGACCATCAGATCCCACTCCTAGACAGCGCAACACCGGTCAACGTCCGTCCTTACAGATATCCATTTTTTCAGAAGCGAGAGATTGAGAGCCAAGTTGGTGAGATGCTTTCTTCTGGTTTGATTCAAGGGAGCACGAGCTCTTTTTCTTCTCCTGTTTTGCTGGTTCGGAAGAAAGACGGGTCATGGCGCTTCTGTGTGGACTACCGCGCCCTGAACTCCATCACAAGGAAAGATCGTTTTCCGATTCCAACCATAGACGAGCTTCTGGACGAATTACATGGCGCTCAGTGTTTTTCCAAGCTCGATTTGCGTTCTGGGTATCACCAGATACGCATGCATCCAGCAGACGTGGCCAAGACTGCCTTCCGGACCCACGATGGCCACTACGAATTTTTGGTGATGTCGTTTGGTCTGTGCAATGCTCCAGCGACATTTCAGGCGACCATGAATAGGTTGTTTCAACCCCACCTTCTTCAGTTTATTATTGTTTTTTTTTATGATATTCTTGTTTACAGCAAAACTGAGGAAGTGCATAAGAACCATCTCCGACAAACGTTTGCTTGTTTATTGCAGAATAAATTTTTTCTAAAATATTCCAAGTGCTTTTTTGCATAGGAGTCCATTGACTACTTAGGCCATATCATTTCCAAGAGTGGTGTTGGCCCCGATCCGGAGAAGATTCTCGCCATGGTTGAATGGCCTTTGCCAACGACACTTAAACAACTAAGAGGCTTCCTGGGTTTGACTGGATTTTACAGGAAATTTGTGCAAGGCTACGCTGCACTCGCGGCTCCTTTGACGGATATGTTGAAGCGTGATGCCTTTGTATGGTAAGATCAGGCTCGGACTGCCTTTGAATGGCTAAAGAGCGCGATGACTCAGGCTCCTGTTTTGCACCTTCCCGACTTTGATTCTGAGTTTGTGTTAGAAACTGATGCTTCCGGGTTAGGTATGGGAGCTGTGTTGTTACAAAAGGGGCATCCTATGTGCTACTTCAGCAAGAAATTTTCTGGGCGATTACTGCAAGCTTCCACATATGTACGCGAGTTACATGCTATTACAGAGGCTGTACGCAAATGGAGACCATACCTCCTTGGCCGCCGTTTCACAATCCACACTGATCAGCGGAGCCTTCGTGAACTCATGACCCAAGTCATTCAAACTCCGGAGCAGCAGTATTATTTGTCCAAACTCCTGGGTTATGACTACAATATTGCTTACAAACCTGGTGCTTCAAACCAGGTGGCCGACGCGCTGTCACGTGTTGAACATCCACCAGCATCCTTACTAGTGCTCTCTGTTCCACAATTTGAATTTATTTCTAAGCTCAAAGAGACATACAACAGTGATCCGGAGGTGCAAAAGCTGTTACAGGAATTAGAAGAAAACCCCTCTTCTCACCCCTTTATACGTGCAGTACAAGGGGTGCTTCTCTTTAAAGGCAATATCTTTATTCCTGCCGCTTCAGCCATCAAACCAGCTCTTTTACTTGAATTCCATGCTTCTCCATTGGCTGGTCATTTTGGCATCAGTAAGACACTTGGCAGGCTTCGCGAGAATTTCTACTGGAAGGGTATGAAAAAAGATGTAACAGTGTTTGTTCAACAATGCTTAGTCTGCCAACACATGAAACCCTCCCACCAAGCTCTGATTGGCCTCCTTCAACCGATCGAACCCCCAACACAAGTATGGGAGGACATATCCTTGGATTTCATCACTGGGCTCCCTTCCTTCCAAAACTACAGTGTCATTCTTGTTGTTGTGGATCGCTTCTCCAAGGCAGCACACTTTGGTAAGCTGCCTACCCACTTTACTGCATCTAAAGTTGCTGATCTATTCGCTCAAATGGTTTGTAGCTTACACGGCATGCCAAAGAGTATGATATCCGACCGAGATCCCATCTTTCTCAGTCATTTTTGGCAAGAACTATTCAAACTCAGCGGCACTAAACTTCGCATGTCCACCGCTTACCATCCACAAAGCGATGGCCAGACTGAGGTGGTCAATAGAACACTACAGCACTACCTTCGGTCCTTCGTACATGAGCAACCACGTTTATGGGGCAAGTTCCTTCACTGGGCTGAATGGTGTTATAACACCACCATTCACTCATCCACTGGCATGACACCTTTCCAAGCCGTTTATGGCAGGGAACCTCCGAATATTCCTACCTATGCACTTGGTGGTACCCCTGTTGATGCTGTTGAATTCGAACTCAGTACCCGTGAGAACCTCTTAATCCGTCTCCGACAGCGTTTGCTAAAGGCTCAAGAGAGCATGAAACGTTCTGCGGATCTCCATCGTCGCGCGTTTGAGTTCCATGAAGGGGATTTAGTAATGATCCGGCTACGACCCTACCGCCATACCTCAGTGACTGGTGCTCCCCCACAAAAACTAGCCAAGCGTTTCTATGGGCCATACAAGATTGTGCGTTGTGTTAACCCTGTTGCCTTCGAATTGGAGCTCCCTGAAGGCTCCAAAATACATCCTGTCTTTCATTCTTCCCTGCTGAAACCCTTCTTTGCTGCTGATACATCAAATCCGGACCAGCCTCTCCAGTTGCCAGATGCTGCCATAGATCACCAACCACTGGTCCAACCTTTAGCCATTCTGAATATTCAGAGAGGACCCGAGGCTTCAGAAACTAAGGTGTTAGTTCAGTGGCAGGGCTTATATCCGGAAGATGCGACTTGGGAATTGCTTTCTGACTTCCAAGCTAATTTTCCTTCCTTCCACATTGAGGACAATGTGTGTTCTGATGGGGAAGGGGATGATACAGATCCACAAGCTAATGAGACAGAGGGCCCAGAGGAAGAACACCAGCTGGATCCACAGGTCACACCCAAGGCCAGGTGGGCCAAGCGTCACAGAGGCCAGCCCAAATGGATGAGGGATTATCAATTGGGTTAGCATGGGAGCTGATACATAAGATGGGAGCTGCTGCATAGGATAAGTTGGTTGCACGTTTAGGAAGTTGTTAGATGGAGAATTGTGATGTTAGTGTATTGCATTCTGTTATTGCTGCTGTATTCCATTCGTAGTTTGTTGCAAGTCCGTTAGCTGTAGGTGCAGGTGGCACTTTCTGCTGCTTGGCATTTTTCATTACCTGCTTCTGTATATAAGCCTACTGGCTCTAAAAGGAAAATCAAGCAATCAACCAAGTTCTTTTTTTCATCTTTGTTTAATTGTTTTCCAAGGAGGTTCCCACCCTCGAAGTGGGTCTTATTAAATAAACTTTTCATTCTCATCTCCTTCTTCTCTTTCTTGTTCTTAACTTTGCTTTTCTCTCATCTTCAACCTCTGTTCTGCAAGATAGGATCCAAATCCTATCATGAATCCTTTACGAAGTAGTCATTCAGATCCAGCTCTAGTAACGATTATATAGAGCACTTTGGATTATGTCAGTGTATGGTGGGTTCGTTGTAGACTTAATATGATTTTGGATACTGATATTCAATTCTTTCATAAACCGCAAGCATCTATGCATGTAAAATTATTATATAAGATGATTATACTCTTATTTATGGATTGAAACATCATTACCTATCTGGATTTAGTGTTAAATTGTCAATCATTTTGTGTATCATGTAGATAAACCCCCAATAGAGGAACTTCATCAATTCCTAGAATTTCAGTTGCCTCGGCAATGGGCTCCAGGGTATGATCTGCCTTTTCGATTTGGTCCCAAGCATAAAAGAAACATGTCTCCAGCACTCCAGTTCACATTCATGGGACCCAAGCTTTATGTTAATACTGTAAAGGTAATTTGTTTTAGTTGTAAGCCATTGAAACAAATATCATTGTCGCATACTTTTCCCTCCAAAGATGGTTTATGCCTGCACAAATGTTTTCGTTTACTCTGTCTGTTTTAACCAAAGGGAAAGAAGATACAGAATTTGATAGAAGGAAATTGAATGAAGGGAAGGGTGGCTATGAGAGCTTGCTTTCACGTTATTTGAAATATCTGGGAGTGATGCATCATTCCCTCGTCTAACTTTTAACGATGAAAATGAAGGAAATAAATGTTTACAAAACACTAAATATTAAGGCTAACTAGCACAGAATTAGGATCAGGGAAAATCTCCCTGTATTACATTGTTTACAAAACCGATAAAGAAGGCAATCCTAAATTACATTGTAATTATATCCCCCTTCTGAACCTAACCCATGTCCGACATCATCTACTAATAACAACCTAGTAAGAAACTAGGATAGCCAAACAGCCTAGATACTAAGGGATAAGACCTATCATCTTATCCCTCAACAATTTGATTCCACTATGAGATAACCCTATATATAAATAATTGGTTAAGCTCTGATCCCTCCTCTTTTAGCTGTTACTGTGCACACATCCACTTTTTTTGGCCTTGAACCTCTTTGTGCATAGCAATCTGCCACCCTTACAGTGTCTTTTGCATACACCGAGCTTACAGCACTTTTGTCATGAACCTGGATCTCCCATTTTTTTTATGTAAACTTTCATTAGTCCAACACTCATTTTACTAATAACCTTATATTCTCCCTTCTAAACTTGCAATTTGCAGGTTGACTCTGGACATCGGCCAGTAACCGGTATTCGCTTGTTTTTGGAAGGCAGAAACAGTGACCACCTGGGGATCCATCTCCAGCATCTTTCCAATCTTCCCAGGACTTTTCAAATCTTGGACCATAATGATTTTGAGCATATTGATGAGCCAGTTAATAGAGGCTACTTTGAACCCGTGAAGTGGAAAATGTTTTCACATGTATGCACTGCCCCAATACAGTACGATAGTTCCCATATTGTTGAGTCACACATTGTGACAAAGGCTTGGTTTGAGGTCAGACATGTACAAATGAAGAAGGTTCTTTTCCTGAGGCTCGGATACTCAAGAGTGGCATCATCAAGAATTCGCAGAACAGAATGGGATGTTACTTCATCCACAAATCGAAAATCAGGATTCTTTTCAGCATTGTTGAGCTCAAGGCTTAGCAAAGAATTGCATCCTCCTGGGGTTGAGATTGAGAAGCCAGCAAAAGAGGATAACAATTCAGCAGTAGCTTATCAAGCCAATTCTAATACTGATGCACCTGTACCAACAAAGACTCCTAAAAGGTTGAGGTTTGTAGACACAAACGAAGTTGTTCGGGGTCCAGATGATGCACCTGGATATTGGGTGGTTACTGGAGCCAAGCTTTCATTAGAGGGTGGCAAAATCTCCATCAAGGCCAAGCTTTCATTGTTATGGATTGATTGAATCTGAAATTAAAATCCCAAGGACTAACGGATTTCATTAATTCTGAAATCTTGGATTTATTGTATGTAAAGTTTAGGTGTTAAGTGTTGTTATTGATTAGTGTAATTTTTCAAAAGGTAGTTGAGCCACTTTTGAATTTTCGTACCAAAAACTCTTGACTTCAATTTGCACCAGTCTATTTGTAAAAAATTTGTACATGAGTACGATAAAGCAGTGTTCAATACCTTCGTTTTCAAGTGTAATGCCAAGAACTTTTGGCGATAATGCGTGAAAAGAAACACGTCTTTGCTCAAATCAGTTGTGATATAATTTCATTCATAAGCCATACAAGTATAATTTTATCTGTGTATATTTTTTAGAGATATAGCAATGGAGATGAGAAGCATAGGGTTTTCAACCATTGTTGCTTGGTGATGGGAAGAAAATAACTTCTAATTCACTTCTGTATTATAAGAGTAATCAAAATTTGCGAGTTGAAGTGTAATGGTAGGAACAAAACCATTTTTATCCGCATTAGAAATGTAACAAAAAAAAAAAAAAAAGACACAGGTACAAGATACCACGTTAAAATATGTTTGGGTTGGTTAATGCTGCCACACCCTTGCATCTTCACCTTTATTTTTATTTTATTTTTAGGGTGCTACAACCCCCTCATTGGACCACTCAGAAGAGTGCAGTTGTGTTCATTCAATCCCCATTCCCTCCATTTAAATACCTCTCAACCCAATAAGAAGGTACCAACCAAATATGTACCTAGCCACCTGAGTGACATGGAAGTAAGAAATCAATAAAATGCATTATATATTTATATATGCGCCTGCTACTCATCGTCAACGAACTCCTCCACGTTCACACGGATCGGAGCAGTCAAGAAGACCCGGAATTCAGTAACTCAGTAGCCTCATCGATTCGAGCTGGTCATTGAATCAGTCATGCACTTGAATTGGTATCAATTCGGTGAATCGATCATGACCCGCGATTCAACCGATACTTAAATTGATTTTTCAAAGTGTGTGTAAAATGAATTTAAATTTTGCAGCATTAAGAACTTAAACCCATATGGGGTTAATGGAAGTTGTAAAAATTAGTGAATTATAAATGATTGATGAAAATTATTTAGTGACTAGTATTTTTTTTAAGGGTAATACATCTATCATGTGATAGGAAACAAAAAAAAGTTCGTGAGGTGAGCCCATTTCTACTTTTTTTCTCTCTTTATTTTTGTTTCTCTCCTCCAATTTTTTGTCTCTAAGGAATTTTTTTGTTTCCTGTCACATTATAGATGTGTTACCCTTTTTTTAATTGTTAGTTATTAGTAATAATTAAATATTAATTAATAATTGTAGTGATTTGTGAATCATAATTACTTAATTTAAATTTAATTATATAATATTTAGGTTAATATTATATTTGGCAAAAAAATTGATTTATTGTTTTTTAAATAAAAAAATTACGAATTTATGATTGTTTTGGAAATAACTACACATTTATTGCACAATATCACGTCCAATCTGGACGTCACCAATCACGTCTAATTTAGACTTCACTAAAGAGGCGTCACTCATCAGGTGTTAACCCGTGTCACATTTCTTTTTTTCAAAAAAAATTAACAATTTAATCATAAAACTTCTTAAGGCCATAACTTTTTACTTGAGTATCCAAATCAGGTAATTCTTTTTTTGATTCCACATAACTTTTCAAGATCTACGCAATGACATCTCATTTGACATATTTTATTTCTCACAAACATAATTTAAATTTGTAAGAATGTTATTATAATAGCGGTTAAACCCAGAAGCCTCTGAGTTCTGGGTTTGTGATTTAATATAAAAAAAATAAATAAAGATTTGGTTTGTGATTTAAATTAAAAATAAAAATTAAAAATATTATTATTAGAGAAAATAAAATAAAGATTTGATTTGTGATTTAAACTCAAAAATTAATTTAAAAAATATGTATTAATAAAGGAAATAATTAAATAAATATTCTAAATCTCTAAAGAAAGATTTTATTTTTGAAAAATATTCATAAGTCATCATTAATTTCAGACCATGAATAATAACCCTCAAGCTTATCTCATATTTATCTGTGAAATATTAAACCCGTTATAATATTGCGAAATGTATTTAATAAATGTTTAGTACAGGCACGTGAATCGAATATTATATGTTGTCTTGTATTACAATAATCGTTCACGTCTAACAAAATCGAAAAGACTTGGTTTTGCCTAGTATGAATAGATAAGGAAAGGGAAAGCAATAGGGACTTACCTCTAATTATTTGTGCATGTTCGTTAACAATTTTCTTTAAAAAAAAATATTTATTTTGAAAACTTTCTAAAAAATTGGAGTATATTCAATTTTTTGAAACATATTACTTAAAAAAAATCGCCAAAATAAATTAATTGAAACAAATACTTAATATCTTTAAAGATGAAACAGAAAGAATTAAAAAATAATATTATTTCGGTGAATTTCAATAATTTTCATTCCTTTTCTTTTAGACAAAAAACTAAGAAATATAAACAGAGAAAATTAATTTTTGTGGTTTATCATATATTTACAAATAAATAATTTATTTTATTAATATTTTCTATTATGAACACTTGTTAGCTTAAAGATAACAAAAAAGTTATATTCATCACATAACATAACTATTATCATATCGCGCGGAGAAATAGTAGGTTCCGCCCACAATTTGTTATACGCACCATTATTATTTGCGTTGAACTAAATATTTAGCATTAGTAATCGTTGCATTATTACAGTTTCACGAATTGAAAGCGATAATTCCATTCCATTAATTGCAGAAACAGAGCCATCATCACGTGCTTCAAAATTGACGACCCATTCCTTATCCTTACCACTCTATCTCATCTCGTATTTGGTTTGGTTGAAGGTTTATTTTGATGGGAAAGTGTAAATGGATATTGAAAAATATCACGTTTGGTTCAGTTTTTTCAAAAAATACCAGACAAATAAGATAGATGGGAAAATGACTTTTGTGTTGATTTTTGGATGAAATTCACTGTTACAGAATACCACTTGAGATGTGGTATTTTGAGATAACTGGGGAAGTGAAAAAAATAGGTGTAAAGTTTCTCCCGAACATAGATTTTGCATATTTAAATAAATTTCCCTGGTAATATTTGGGTTAACCAAACAACTTTTTTTACATTTTCCTACCAAACTCACTTTCCAACCATTTCTGTATCAATTACATTTCCTCATTAAAAAGAAAATTTCGGGAACCAAACACTACCTAGCAACACCCGATATTTACAGCTGTCTACAGAGTTTAAGGAGGGTTATGTTTTGGTATGTTCGCGGATTCAGACATACTTCACTTTCATTGGTTATCCCATTTATGAAAAAATAAAATAAATTGTTCCATTAATTTATTTACATAGGTTAAGAAATATTTTAATATTTTTAATAAATTATTTTAATTTATTAAAATATAAATAATTTCTAATTATTAATATATTTTTATTTTTTATATAATATATATTATTCTTAAAATCATGCTAATAAGTGTTTAAGAATACTGGTTAAAAAGTACTTAATTTTTTATTAATATTTTTAATTACTTAGAAAATATTAAACCTTTTTTAAACTCATTAATTTAACTTTTTATTCAATACCTAAGTATAATAGTCAACAAATTGCTTAATCTTTCTGGACAAATGTGAAGAAATAAGATTAAATAATATATCCCTCATTGCTAAATAAAGAAAATATTAAAGAATTTTTATGTTTTCAATATATTTTATATATACTTTTTCATTTAATAAATTTTTTATTAAATAGTAGAGAATGTATTAGAAATCTATAACACAATTCAATAAAAAATTATATTTTACTCACACTAATTACGTAAAGAAAAATGTATTAATTATTTAAAAAAAATATTAAATGCTTGTATTTTCATTTAATAATTTTCACTTTTTACTTTTCTAACACGTGGCCTAAATTAACAAAACTATTTTATAATTCCTAATCAATGAAAACTATTTTTCAATTCCTTAATCAATGGTCTTAAGTCAAACTCTATTAAAAGATAAGACTTCGGCATATGGATATCCTCACTCTTACAACATTTAAGAATATTAAAAAAAAGAAAAAAGAATCCAGTGCATAAAAGTACAAATATTTAATATTTTAGAAACAAAACCCACGTAATTTGCTTTACATCCATCCAACGTAATTTGCTATACAAATATCGGTTCAAATTCCATCAACACCATCGGAGCATAAATATCGTAATTCTTGGACTTACACCCGAACTCTGGATTAGTCCCATACTCAAAGAGTCGAACTCGTGGAGATACCGGAGGGTTCTGATTTGCCTCAAAGAGATAATTAGGATCAGTTTCCAAAATATATATATATATATACATATAGCTCGAGCTTTGAATGGTGGGGTTAAAAGGTATCACCCAATTTGTTCTTTAATGCAGGTTAAGTAAGTGACTGAGGAGGATCCAGGTACCTGAAAAAAGTGATCAAACATTTGAGTCAACGCTTATCTTTTCTTCATTTTTTTATCCTAATGTAAGTTCATTTTCATCTCTCCTTATCATGTATTTGAAAATGAACGGATGAGATTGTTTCATATAGCTTAATCATATCAAATTAAATGAGACATTAAATCATCCAATGTCTAAAAAAATAAACCATATAATACTTTTATCCCATTCAAATTCATCCATGACCGTGTGCTACTGCTATGCCATCCATCTCTCTCTATAAAAGACCAACGAAACTCTGCATGCAAACAAGAAACAAAGGCTTATTCGTTTATCATAATTAATTAGGAATAGTTATGGCTCCAAGGGATAAGAGTAACAAGAGTGGCGTGAAGAAATCCAAGTCCAGCGAAGAGGTGGTGCGTTTTCGAGGAGTGAGGAGAAGGCCATGGGGAAAATACGCCGCCGAGATCAGAGACCCCCGAAAGAAGAGGCGCGTCTGGCTCGGAACCTTTGACACCGCCGCAGAAGCAGCCAGAGCCTACGACTCCGCCGCCATCGAGCTCCGCGGCTCAAAGGCCATAACTAACTTCCCGAACACTTTCAATAACAACAATCACAAAGTCATGCACATTGGTGATGTCATAGCCAGTGATTTTGATTCATCCTCCGTTATCGCTACGAAGGGTGAAAAAGAGTTTGACCTTAACCACCCTCCTCCTCAAGAAATTGAGGAATCCTAATTGAGTTTTACGTACCAAGACTTTGTGATTATACTTTATTTTGAAAAGATAATATGTTTATATAATTTTATTTTTGAAAGATTAAAAAATTATAATTGCAAAGACGGTAATAATCCTGAAATAAATTAAAATTACAAAAACGTCATGATTTTCGCCCCAAAACGATGTCATATTGGGCTTACTGCAGATAACTTATCTAGTAACTGATGAAAAAACTAACTCAAAAAAAATGTGGGATCTTATTTTTCTTTTCTTTTTTCTCTCTCTTCTCTTCACGTGATTCTCACACATACTTTTATGTATATATGAGATATAACTCATATAACATGAGAAATATTTTAAAAACAGAAGAAGCACGCTGCATGTAAACAGTAGCTGTATAAAAAATAATAATATTATTATAATTAATTATAGATTAATGTTAATTTATTATGATTGGTATTAATTAATATTAATAAAATAATTAGACTGATATCAATTAATCTCTCATATATTTGTAAAGTCTTGTTATAAAAGATGGCTAAATTGAATAGAGAAAAAGGAAGTTGATTTCTCCCAATAATTCTCTAAATTTCTTCCTCTCTCTAATTTTCTTGCCTCACTTTATTTGTCTCCTCTCATTATTCACTCCCCCTAGTTCTTTTCGTTACAGCAGCTGATTGAGTTGTTAATATTTTACGGCGGAGAATGGCCTGAAAGTGCAACGAGGTTTTGGTCCTTGACGGTGTTCCAGTTCAACAGGAGTGTAAGAAGATGGCGCACATAGGTTATTCTGCCAATAAAAAAAGATGACCCATTTCCTCCTCTTTATTTGGCCATGTATATTTCTTTTGTTCAAAGTCTAAAATACCGAATTTCTTTGTTTTCATTCGTCATTATTGACTGATGATATATTTGAATTATAATTAAAAAAAAAAAACAGAAACGAGTTGATATATATTGTAAATTGGAATGACTTTAATTAAGAGTGAAACTCTCCTTATTTTACTTACTATTTTCTTTTCAAGCATTTGTCATCGTGACTTTTCTAATTTGTAAACACGAGTATTTAAATTGATATAAAACTACACTTCAACAACTTAAGCTAAAAAGAAAAAAGATAACCACCGGCAAAAAAGAAAATAAATTTTTTTTTTTTTTTTTGGGATTACAGGAAAGATAAGAAAACACAAAAAAACGCTAAGTAGAAACCATTCTGGGGGTTAACACCCCCCTTTGGTCTCTTAACAACAGATTCAAACACTCCAGAGGAGGACTGACAAGAATTTCCACGTCCCAAACATGTTTTGTAGTTGTAGAAGCCATCCGATCAGCTAGAGCATTGCCTTCTCTGAAGGTGTGAGAGATCTGGGTCATCCAATCCTTCTTTAGCATGTCTTGGATTCTATTGACTAAGGAAGAAAAGGATTGGTTCCTAGAGCAACCGTTTCTGATCAGCTCTATTGCAACCGTAGAGTCACTCTCAAGGCAAACCTTCATGAAACCATAGTCCCATGCAACTTCAAGGCCTAACATGATACCCTTCAACTCAGCAAGGACGGTGTTCCCGTGGCCTGTGTTCTTCCTAAACCCCAATAACCAGTTCCCTCCAGAGTCACGGAGGATTCCTCCGCAAGAGGTTCTGTCACCCCTACAAGAGCAACTGCCATCCGCGTTCACTTTTATCCAACCAGGCTGGGAAAACTTCCAAGCAATGAAAGTTTCAGTTCTGGTTAAAGGAGAAATATGCGCTTTAGTTAGCAAGCTATCTGCAAGCAGGATGCTGTCAACTAAAGCTTTGGTGAGGAAGAAGATAAATTCTTACATATAAGGATGAACCCCAGAATTTTCTCTTACATAAAGGTTTGACTCATATATACTCAATATTATAGATTCGATCTACATTATTTTCATGTTAAATTAATTACTTATAAAGACAATTATAACTACATATGATTTTTTTTTTTTGTGGTGTGTGTCATTACATTTATTTTTTATCAATAAGATATGCATATTGAAAGAATTTGTAACGTTCCTTATTCGAGAAGTTTGGCACCGCATTACCATATCAATCATAGTACAAAGGGTTTTACAATTTCATGATGAACACATGCCATGTTGGTCTTTTATAGGCAAAAATTACATCGTTTTCATAATTTAGAGGAGGGTTCTATTGGCAATTTTTATTTTTTTTACAAACTACACTATGTCTTACCGGTAAACTTCACTTAAGAGTGTCTTACCAGTAAAACATAGTATAGTTTGTAAACAAAATGTTTGTAAATATAACATTCCCCCATAACTTATGTTGGTAAAAGTTTTTTGTTATGTTTTAATATGATTGATCTAGTTCCTCGATTTCTAGCTAGTTTTATGCTAGCTACCAATAATGGGAAGAATATAACTTACAAAGCATTACTGCTTTGTTCAACAAGGAGCTTGTGTTCCTAAAACGGTATAGTATGTGCACCAGGGAACTCTTTCTTTCTTAGAACACAACAATCCGGAAGAGTATTTCAAACCTCAAAACTTGAAAGCAAAAAGCTAAACCAAATTGAGAAGGTGAAACTTGAATTTTATGGGTAACATATATAAAAGTTAAGACCAATTTTCCCCTTAAGTAGTTTATCCTTTTCCCGTCCTCTAATTATGGACCTCACAAAACATACACGTACACATGCTTTATCATAGTCTATCTACAAATCAAACCTTTGATTTGTCTTTCCTATTCATTATATTGCTCGAATTAATCAGTTTCTGCATGGTTGGTGTTATGGACTGAGTAAGGCCCACGATCAAAGAAGGCCCAAATAACACAAGTCCAAAGGTAAGCACTATAAATAAGAGCCAAAGACCACAGGTATGACTGATCTTTTTTAACCCTACATTTATGCAATCACACAGCATACACACCCCCCCTTTGGCTAAAGTCGTTATATTGTGTGTCGTGATTCGCTTCCCCCAAGATAACTAATTCATAGGTATCTAGAGAGAAAGCACTAAATCCAACATCAACTATCTAACCTTGGGTTAGACATCTCTGCCTCAGGCAAAACATTGGTGCAGTCTGTGGGAAACGCCTTCCCACGATTACGTGGTTAAAAGCCACCAATTAAAATGGTGAGAACAACTAGAAGCAGTTACTGGCAGCCTTCAAGGTCAAATCCCAAACACCAACCGATCCCCCCGATCAGGAAGGATTCGCCAGGGTAACATGTTCTTCAGGACCATCAACAGCTAGACACTGACGCTGTGCATATCAGCGAGGTGCACTCTGATTCAACATCAACTCCAGCGGTTAATCCTAATGCCCCGTATGTAGAGAGGTTACAACCAATTGAAGGACAAATTGCAAATGCTGGGCAGATGCCAAATGGCACAGCTAATGATCCACAGGTGATAGATCTGGTTGCCGCTGCGGTACTTCAGAGAATGGAGGAGATGAAGAGAAAGAATGAGCTCCAAAGGCAAGAAGATGCTAGGAAAATTCGAGAATTGGACACTCGGCTATGGCGGGTCACTAATACGGATCCCGCACGAGCTATAACACGAGTCATGACTGACTTAAGGATCACGAATCCTCAGCAGAATAATAATGATCGAGGGGGGACTCGGAGTCAGACGAGAAACGCTGATAGCCGAGCTCAAAGGGTCGTTGCTAACCCTGCTCGTGATCCAGCAACTCGGCATGAAGGAAGCCGAGGTGAAGGAAATGATACAACAAGGCAAAGAGAGAATCTCCTGCCCCTAAGCGACAGACAACACTTCAGGAACCCGGATGATGTATCTGGGGTGTACAGGAGAAAGTACAACAGGGGGCAGTACAATGATAGTCCTTTTGTGGACGAGATTGTCGACGCACCCTTCCGAGGGAATCTGAACTTATCAGAACTTCTCAAGTACGACGGAACGCAAGATCCTCAAGTACACTTGGAACCCTTTGATACGGCCATGTACATCAAGGGGATAAAGCAACCTTTGATCACGCTACTCTTTGCAACTACATTAACAGGAGTGGCCCAAACGTGGTTTTCATCATTACCAGCGGGGTCCATCAGATCTTTTGAAGAATTTGGCGGTAGATTTCTGCTGAATTTTGCTACCAGCAAGAAACAACTGAAGTCAGAATTCGCGCTGGGGAAAATAAGGCAACAACCTGGTGAAACCTTGCAAAAATACCTGGATCATTTTAAAATGGCAGCCTTGCAGGTTCCAGGATTGTCTGAAAAATGTTCATCTGCACCTGGTAATAGCAGCAGGTTTGCATGGCTCCTCCAGATTAGCCAAATCAATATATAAAGACCCGGTTCGAACGTTGGTAGAGTTCACAGCTCGATCAAAGAAGTATCTGGAGCTGGAACAGATGGAGATTGAGAACATGGATCAGAAGTACCATCCTAACCCGGTAGAGAAGCCCGAAAGTTAGAGGCAAAACGAATTTCGGGGTAAGAGACAAGACGAAAGAACTCCAGCAAGGGAAGGTTCGAGAAGTACGCACCCTTGAATTCACCCAGGTCATAAATTTGGAAGGAATGGCCTCCACCGAGATGAAGAAGGTTGACAGACCTCGGCCTTTGCTGAACCAAGCCGGGTTAGACTAATCTCGATATTGTGTCTTTCATGTTGGGCCTAGGCATACTACAGACGAATGCTGGGATTTGAGAGATGCAATTGAGAAATATATCAGAGATGGCAAGTTGCGTCAGTACTTGATAAGGACTCAAGGATGGAGGAACAGTAGAAAAATGAGAGGTCGGCCTATGAGTCCGACAAGGGAAAAAGATTGAAGGAAGAGAGTCGGGGTAAGAAGCCGGCTAGGGAAGAGGATGAGTTTGTGGAACCAGAGTTTGAATGCATTGTAACTAGTGTAGCTTTTGGCAGAGGGGGTGATGCCATGAATGCTAGAAGGAAATACTTAAGAGAGGTGCTCTTGATTCGGGAGCGACCTAAGTTCAAAGAAAAAGCCAAACCGAAGCCGCCATTACTGTACTTCACTAGGAAAGAATTAGAAGATGTGATGTCGGGACATGTTAACGGGTTGGTCATTACAGGGACGCTAGTCAATTGCAGAGTTAAGAAGATCTTTGTAGACAATGACAGCTGTGCCAACATAATCCTATGGCAGGCATTTAAAAAGATGAATCTAGATGAAAAAGACCTGAAACCCTGCAACACTGCCTTGATTGTGTTCAACGGCCGTTATACCATTCCTAAAAGGTATATTGACCTTAGGCTCATCCTAGGCGCGAAAGAGGCATACAAATATGAAAGGGTAAGGTTCATTGTAGCTGACTTCCCATCGAAGTATAATGTCATATTGGGAAGACCAACTATTCACAATTGGGATATGTTGGTTTCCACCAAACATCAGAAAATCAAGATGATTGGTAAACAAAACATAGTGATCACCATTGTAGGAGACCAGAAGGAGTCTCGAGATTGTTATTTCAAGTCAGTTAGAGCGGTAGAAAGTAATCCTAAATTGTCGACCGAGATCAAAGAGATCGACAACAGTCAGGTCGGTCCAAGCCAGAAAGGAAATGCATCAATTAACATGGTGTAATTAGACATGAGGGACGATACCTAGATGCCAAGGCCAGAACCTGATGGAGAATTAGAAGAAGTAACCATCGGAGAGCGGGGGCAAACTACAAAAATCGGCAAAGGATTGACGGATGATGTGAAAAATCAGCTTATCACATGCTTGAGGAACATCAAGAATATCTTTGCTTGGAAGTCGACATAAATTCTTGGGGTAAACCCTGCTTTTTGTTGCCATAGGTTGGCAGTGTATCCAGGATCAAAGCCGGTAGCTCAGAAAAAGAGGAAGCTTAGCCCCGAACGTCGGCAAGTGTTGGAAGATCATGTTAAGGAGCTATTAGAAGCAGGTTTCATCCGGGAAATACAATATACCACCTGGTTATCCAATGTGGTAATGGTTGAGAAGCCAACCGAGAAGTGGAGGGTATGCACAGATTATACCGACTTGAATAAGGTATGTCCAAAGGACGCGTACCCTATGCCTAATATAGACCAATTGGTTGATAGCTCCTCTGGGTTCCAGATGTTGTCTTTCATGGATGCCTGCTCCGGGTATAACCAAATCCCATTGCACCCAGAGGATCAGTAGAAAACAACATTCATATCCGAGAAAGCAAACTATTGTTATAATGTAATGCCTTTTGGGTTGAAAAACTCATGAGCCACTTATCAAAGGATGGTGAACCAGGTGTTTGCAGACCAACTAGGCAAAAATGTTGAAGTGTACATAGATGACATGATAGTCAAGTCATTAGATTCAATGGTGCATATTGAAGATTTGGAGCAAACCTTTGAGAAATTAAGGCGACATAGCATTCGGTTGAATCCAGCAAAATGTGCTTTCGGGGTCTTCGCGGGAAAGTTCTTGGGATTTATGCTAACTCACAGAGGTATTGAAGCTAATCCGGATAAGTGCAGAGCCGTGCTAGAAATGAAGGCCCCTACGAGTAAGAAAGAGATACAGCAACTGACAGGAAGATTAGCCTCCCTTACCAAGTTTCTACCCCGATCTGTAGAAACGATGTTACCATTCTTTAAATTACTCAGAAAGGAGGTGCGATACGGGTGGACTGCGGAGTGTGAAGCTGCATTCCAAGAGATAAAAAGACAACTAGCTTCCCTACCAGTTTTAACAAAACCCGGAGAAAAAGAAACACTAATAATGTATCTCTCTGTGGGTGATGTTGCTATCAGTTCAGTCCTAGTTCGGGAAAATGAAGAAGGACAACAACCGATTTACTTCGTAAGTCAGCTCTTACAAGGAGAAGAGCTCAGGTATCAGAAGTTAGAAAAAGTGGCTTTTGCCTTGCTAATTTCTGCTAGAAGACTCAGGGCATATTTCCAGGGACATAAAATCATGGTCAGATCAGATTTGCCAATTCGCAAAGTCTTCACAAGCCCGACCTAGCAGGTAGAACGATGAGTTGGGCTGTGGAGCTATCATAATTTGATATAACATTTGAGGGCCGTAAAGCAATTAAATCCCAAGCACTGGCGGACTTTGTCAGGGAGCTCACTTCAATCCAAAGTGAGAGCTCGAACAACCCGGATACCTGGAACGTGTATGTAGATGGCTCCTCTAACTCAAAAGGGAGTGGAGCTGGGGTCATCATTGAGAACCCTGAAGGTGTGGCCATTGAATATTCCATGCAATTGGATTTTGAAACATCAAACAACAAGGCAGAATACGAAGCCTTCATAGCTGGACTCTGGCAGGCTAAGGAACTCGGAGCACGAAGGGTACAAGTTCACAGCGATTTTCAATTGGTCACCTCTCAAATTGTAGGGAGTTACCAAGCTAGGGAGCCATTGCTGACAAAGTATTTAGACTATGCTAGGAAGTTAATGTCAGAATTTGAAAAGGTGGATGTCAATCACATTCCAAGGAACGAAAACAGCAAGGCTGACATATTGTCCAAGCTAGCAAGTACCAAGGGAAGAGGAAATCATAGGACAGTGGTTGAGCAGAGTATCCCAGAACCCGCCTGCGAAATGCAGATAGCAGAGGTAGATGATTGGCATTTTATCATCATCGATTACCTAGAAAAATGGGACGCTACCTCCGGGAAAGGAAGAAGCCAGGAAATTAGTCAGAGACGCAACACTATATACCATGGTGGAAGGGCAGCTGTACAAAAAAAGGATTTATTCACCTCTGCTGAAGTGCTTGAGCTCGGATATGGCACAATACATCCTATCTAAAATCCATGAAGAAATTAATGGCCAGCATGTTGGAGGTAAGGCTTTAGCTCGAAAAGCGATTAGAGCCAACTATTTTTGGCCATCCATGAGCAATGATGCAAAGGAGCATGTGCAAAAATGAGATCAGTGTCAGAAGCACGGAAAGAACCTGTTAGCTCCCCCAGAAGAATTAAACTTAATTACTGCCCCTTGGCGATTCTATAAATGGGGAATGGATCTTTTGGGTCCATTTGCGGCAGCAGAAGGCCAACTAAAATGGTTAATAGTGGCTGTTGACTATTTTAATAAGTGGATAGAAGCAGAGCCAGTTGTAAAAACTTTGCAGCCAAACAGCTTGTTGCTAATCAGTTCAATAAAAAGGTGAAGCCTAGATCGTTTGTGGTAGGAGATTTGGTTCTTCGCAGAGCAGACATTGGTGGACGAAATACAGGTGAAGGAAAGCTAGCTCCAAAATGGGAAGGGTCATTCAAAATAAAAGAAAAACTGTCAAAGGGGGCCTACACACTGGAGACTCCATAAGGGAAGAATATTAAAAGAACGTGGAATGCAGATAAATTGAAGAAATATTTTAGTTGAAGAACAGGATATTTTGATTTTACTTTGTTACTTCAAGTCATATGAATAATTTGAATAATGGTGTTCATTTTGTTGTCTTCAAAGGTCTGATTTTAACTTAAATCCAAGGTATTGGAACCCGTCTTTCCAAACCGGCAAGGATAGTGAGTTCTAGCCAGGAGCTAAATCCGAGGTAACGGAACCCGACTTGCCAAACCGGCAAGAATAGTGAGTTCTAGCCCGGAACTAAATCCAAGGTACTGGAACCCGTATTGCTAAAATAGCAAGAATAATGAGTTCTAGCCAGGAGCCAAATCGAGGTATTGGAACCTGTCTCGTTGAATAACAAGAACATGGGTTCTAGCCGAGGTGGGATCATATAAGAGAATGAGGGGACGCCCTTTAACTTCTACATTCTTGCGAAAAAAGCAAGAGTCATCGCTAAAGCGGAAAATATGGCTAAAAAAGTAAATCAAATCAAATAGCCCTGATCAGGTTAACAGGCAATGTTATGATAAGTAACAAGCTAGATGGCAAATATGGGGTGTTCGTTACAAATCAAAATAATTTTCAGAGTCATGACAAGAAACTTAAAGGTACAAAATAAACCGGTATCCCGGGTCTTCTCTTCAATCCTGATCACCGCTTCGTAGCATATGTCTAACCTCGTCCTCGAACTCTTGCCCAACAGCCTCTGCTTCTAGGGTAATCACCACGTTCGCCGCCTCAGGTTCGCCGAGGGGGTGGATGATAAACTCCACCCCGGATATAGCCAAAGCAGTCAAGCTGGTCAGTCTTCAAGGTCACCTCAGGGTTAAAATATTTCATTTGATTGACAGCATTTCTGAAGGCGCTACCAATAGACTTCTCCAGAGCGGCTTGACTGAAATCATAGCTGGATTGCAAATTTTGAAGATCAGACTTCAAGTTGTTATTTTCCAGAGTCAACGCAGCAATTTTAGACTCCGCTTTTGTCAGTTCAGTCAATTTCCCTTTGAAGTAGTTGACAATGCTCTCCTTATCAGCAGTCAAACCAAATGAATCGGACACAAATTTAGAATCTAATTGGGATTGGTCCAAAGATGACTTCAACTCGGCAACAGAGCGCGCCAAATCCTTATTATCTTGGACGGCTTTATCGCGATCAATCCGAATCGCATCCCTACCAGCAACAATTTCAGTATGTTTTTCCAACAGCAATGAGTACAACTTCACCAACGACGCCGCCTTGAAAGCATACCGTTCAGCTTTCTGTAGCTCCTCCATCTCTGCCCTCGAAATTATTCTAGACTCGAAAAATGCGGGTGGTGGACGAGTTACACATCGAAGTTCGGTGGCTACCCCTGTTTCCCATAATGCACCCTTCCTAAGTCCAGCTGGGAGGGCGGGCAGGATTGGAGTACCTCGGTTCATGGATACCACGGCACGAGTGGTCCCACGATACCTTAAACGGGAGAAACTGGATTAGCATCTGACTCCAGATTATCAACATCACTAGTGAGGTCCTACACTGACACGTCAAGATTGGTTGCTGGAGCAGAGGTAGTGGCAGATGAAGGGCCGCCAGTTCTTTGTCTTTTAAAGGCTGGAGGGGAATGAGGAGTGGCTTTTCCTTTCAGAGAAAGAATGTAATCTGGCTCTTCCTACATGTCGAAGTCCATATTGGAATCTGCATATAAACAAGCAAGGTTAGAACAATGAAAAATAAGTCATAGATGCATTAAAGGAAAATGACGTAAGCATACTGGTTCGATCTAGGCTGGACTGTGATCTGGCTACTAGAGAGGCCGCACTTAGATGGCCTTGGGAGCGTACATGGTCCAACAAAGCTTTAAGATTGACCTTGTCTTCCCTTGACAACCTTAGTTTAAAATCAATCGACTTCCGAAGATGATGTTCTTGAGACCAATAAAGGGGGAACTTTCCTTCCCCATCCTCTCCAACAAACCACAGAGTTTCTTCGACCTCAGATATCACCTTGAAGTAATGAGCCTTGAAGTCTTTGAAGGAATCACTATATACAGAAAACAACTTCTTAGAGGGCTTGCTGGCATGACCCCGAATACTAGTCCACCCTTTGAACTTTGGAGATTCTGAACCAGTACAGGGAGTATATACATTAAAGAAATAAAGAAAAATGGGAACTGTGCAAGGCAAAGATAGAGATGCATATAGCTGCTCGAAGGCAACGATATAGGCCCATCCATTATGATGAATTTGGGTTGGGGTGAGGAGAAGATGGTTTAAAAGCTGCATTTTGAATGGAGAAAAAGGAAAATGAATTCCGATCTTTGTCACCAACTCACGATAGAAGAAAAAAGAGTGTGGCTCTTCAGGATTCCGACCTGAGCAAACAGGTTCATCATCTGCAGGGAAAAAGGTATTAAACCCAACCATATTGCCTATTGAAAGCCCGAATACTTCTTCAGTGGACATGTTGGACTTGAAGCTCAAAACTTCTTTTGTAACCCACGGGAACTGTCTTCGAAGATCATTGCTAACGGGGACAGAGCCTTTCTCGGCTTCCTGCCTTTGGCGGGATGAGGAAATTTCCACGTTTAACTCTGCAGAAGGGGATTCCATAAAAATCTAGAACAGAAAAATGGGAGGATTAAAAACAAGAAAAATACGTAGCAGGAAAAGTACGTACCTGAACTAAACAAACTACTATGTGAAGAGCTTGAAGAATCGTCTGAAGAAACCAAAGGAGTAGGGGTAGATGAGCCAAGATGGTGTGAACAACTGCCTAGTACTAGGTCAGCCATAAAATTGTTTCCCTTCTCAACAAATTGAGCACTAAGGTAAATACAATTGAAACAAGGGTCTAGCTTCCTACCACCCGGGTTAACAGGCACGGTTGGATGAGAAATGTGGAGAGAAACATGGCTATGAACTAAGATTGGGGTTGGATGTGAAGGGGTGGAGGTTTGACCCGGGTTGTGAGCAATATGCTTCGGTAAAGCACCTATGTTGTGACGAGGACCTCGAATACGCCCCCTGACTGAGGAACAGGATGAAGATGCTCCCCTGTTTCTAACACCTCGATAGCCTCTTAACAAGGTGGCTTGAGTTTCTGCCTCGGTCCGAGGCGTACCATATAACCAAAATCTCGGACCAGAAGGCAGGTTTTGGATGAACCTTTCCTCCTCCTCGGCACACCTTTCTTCTTCCTCTGCATCAATTTCACTGCTACGACCGAAGATACGAGGGCAAGTGGGTCTCCCTCGAATAGTGAAGTTCCTCTCACCCATACCAGGAAAAGTTTACGAACTAAGAAATGGTGGAAAATAAGCAATAACAGGGAGATTTCACACAAACAATGCAGTGCAAAATGAGCAACGTGTAATCAAGCAAACAAAGATAAAATGGAATACTGGAAATTCAAATATGGCATACTGGAAATTCAAATATGGTAACACCAAGAACACGACAGATTCAGGCATATTGTGGAAATAGTAAAACCAGGAAATAGCTTTGGAAGAAGTAAATAGGCAGAAATGGAAATTAAGAGGATGCCAATAAACGTACCAAAAGTAAGCCTTGAAAGAGTATGGAGGAACAAAGACTGGAGAAATTATGAAAGAAAGCTAGGAAGATGGGGAGTGCAAGGGAGTTTCAGTAAGAATAAGGCAAAAGTAAATGAGCAAAAGCCAAAATAATTGAAATGAAGGGGAAAACTGGAGTCGAATAGGTAGTGGACAGGGTCGTGAGAGTAAATTTGGTAGTGGACAGGACAATTGAGGGACGTCTTGGCAGTGGCAGTTAATGAGAAACGACATAGGGTGGAGTAGTGGCACAAGTCGCAGGTATTGAGGAGGGCCACGTGGAAAGTAACCATCATTACATGGAAGGAGAATCGTTTCTCAGAGAAGAAGAATCGTTTCTTGAAAGAGGAAACTTTATCACACCTTAACTGACTCATCTCGGATAGAGCTCATATCCAGAATAATCTGAAGAAACTTGTCCATCTCCTCTCTTGTCAAAAAGTTCGAAGGATAAAGCCGGGGTATGATCAAAACCAGGGTAAAGCGCCTACATTGAAGAGCATAACTCGGACATCTCGGCACCCTGAATACTCAGCATACTGGGCTGAGGGGCAACTGTTATGGACCTGAGTAAGGCCCACGATCAAAGAAGGCCAAAATAACACAAGCCCAAAGGTAAGCACTATAAATAGGAGCCAAAGACCACATGTATGACTGATCTTTTTTAACCCTACTTTTATGCAATCACACAGCACACACACATACCCCCTTTGGCTAAAGCCGTCATATTGTGTGTCGTGATTCGCTGCCCCCCCAAGATACCTAATTCATAGGTATCTAGAGAGAAAGCATTAGATCCAGCATCAACTATCTAACCTTGGGTTAGACATCTCTGCCTCAGGCAGAACAGTTGATGTAATTCTTTTTCTTTTCTTTTTAATTTTTTATTGCTCAAATGAGGAGTGGTGGCTTAAGTCCTAAGTCCTAAAATAATGAGTGCTTAAATGTTGCCATCACTTGTCATTTTGTATGATTTTCTACGATAAAGAAGGAGATGTTTGCCGTCGCATATTTATCTAATTAATATTAGGTACGACTCATACTTCGTATATTAATGAAGACTTTTATTGACGGGGTTAGCAAAAAGACAACTAGGGTCTCGCATTTTATATTTTCTTAATAGTTTGTGCTTAGTCCCATGAATAACTGCAGTTAGAATCTTCTAAATCCTATTTATATTCCCTTGTAAACCAAGTGACTTGTAACGAGTGACAATGAGGTGAATATAATACAGACAAGTTGGACGTAGCCTATATTGTAATAGAAAGTCATTTATTCGAGTAAATCAATAAGACTTACTCAGGTCAATTATATCAAATTTGAATTCATATATTTTTTTTATTCAAACCAAATTCTAATATCTTGTACATAAATGAAATTGAAATGGGTGTTTGTGGTTCCTTTACACTTGAGAGCAATTCACATCTCAATCTTAGAATCCAATTTATTAATATTATATGAATTGCATGAAATTCTTTAACTTCAATCACATGAATACCTTAACTTTTTGTTGTAAACTAGTTAAGAAAATGTATTATATTAATTGCATGAAAGATTAGATTCGTTAGAAAAATATTGGATAAGTTGAATCACTAACTATACTCATCTTTAATTGAATTTTGAAGCAATAGTAGTTAAACTATTAAGTAATAAGAAGCTATATTTGTTAGACTTTACAGTGAAACTTTATATATATGGTCCAAAAGTATCACATGAATACCTTGGCTTTTTGTTGTAAACTAGTTAAGGAAATGTATTTTTATCATTATCATAATTAAAGGCCACAACCGTTTAAAAGTATTTTTGTAATTTTTTTTTGAAAAACATAAACAAAATTCGATTTGGTAAACAAAATGTTTGTAATAATTAAAAGGGATTTATTTATCTTATGGAACAGAGAGTCTATTATCTTTCTTTTTTTTTTTTAAAAAAAAAAATAATAATGAATTCTATTACCTTATCTCTATTGCCATAAGGTAATTATTTTATGTAATATAAGATAATTATTTTTCTAATTAAAAAATACTGATATGCTGCGATGCATAGACACGCAATTTTTTAAAAAAGATGCGTGTCGGACACTGATACGCTCCGACACGTTTTGACAAGCGTCCGACACATTATCAGCATCTTAGGACACACGATTAATGCTCCGACACGTTCCGACACCTTTTTTCGACGCGCAATCAACTTTTTCGTCACGTCATCAATGCTCCAACACGCATCCGATATGTTTTTTTTAGAACTAAATTTTATTTTATTAACTAAACATGAAAAAATAATTTACAAATTAATTTTTTTGTTAAGAAATTTGACATGAAAAATTAATAAGATACGGAAAATTATTTTTGTTTATATTTATATTATAGAATTTGAATATTTGATTGGTTACATAACTTATTATGGGTTGTTATATGTATTAAATGTACATTATATTATATATATTAAAATTATTTTTTAATATCAAAACGTGTCTCAATATGATATTTTTTATAATTAATGTGTCGGCGTGTCGTGTTGTTTATCGTGTCCCGTATCAGTGTCGGTACAACATAGATGATATGTATGATTTATTTTTAATTAATAAATATTATCAAAATACTTTGCTATTATAATTAAGGACCTTAATTAATTACTATTATAAAGTTAAAGTTTTTAAATTTTTGGTAGGTAAAATATTTTCTAAACGACGATTTCAAATTCAATGCTTTGAATATCATAAATAAATTTCGTTCAATATTAAAGTGTTTAATATATAGTTTACCAAAAAAATTATATAATATATATATATATATATATATATATATAGGTAGGATCCTTGATACCAGTGTCAAATTTAAAAATTGACACCTCATCTGATAGCCGTTAGATCAAAAAAGATCAATGGTGTCACATGCTTACAAATCAGACTCGTTGATCTTTTTTGATCTAACGGCTATCAGATAAGGTGTCAAATTTCAAATTTGACACCGGTGTCAAATGATCCTACCTATATATATATATATATATATATATATATATATATATATTATGAATGAGGATATTCTAACTATAAAAAATTCTTACTACTAACTTACTACCTATCACATCACTATTGGATCAAAGAGAGAATGTTAAATTTTTTTTGAAGAGAGGTAAAATGTTAATAAGTTTTTGAAGAGAGAGAAAATGTTAATCTAATGGTGATTAGATATGTAGTAAGTTGGTAGTGAAAAATTTTGAGAGTGAAAATATCCCTGTTTATATATTATAAACAAAGTTGTTAAAATCGAAACCTTAAGTAAAATAGGAAGGGGATTAAAAGATCGAAAGTGTAAAATCGTAATGTAAAAAAATCGTAAAAAGCGTTTGGAATATTAGTAAAATCGTTTTGATGAATATTTTTTGTAAAAATATAAAATCATAGTGATAAATCGAGATTTTAACAACAATAATTATAAATATAACCATTCCCAAAAAAAAAAAAAAAGGAAACATGAGTAATTTGACTATTAAATTGTGAGTATATCCATTCCGAAAAAAGTAAACATGATTAATTTGACTATTTTCCCTCAAGTTACCAGTAACGCGAGGTGGCAACAGGGCACTATAGGATTTTGCGAGTGAGTTGTTGAGATTGTCGTGCATAGGTTGCTGTTCTTTCGTTGTGTCGTGTGTTATGAGAGAGCGAGGTTCAGGGTTAAGTTAGATGGGGAGGGTTTTTCTTCTTGATTTGGATGGCAGATCTTACAGATGCAGATTCTGCTATACACCTCTTGTCCTTGCTGATGATGTTCTCTCTCGGGTACTCTATTTCCTTCTCCCTTTTTTCTTAGCTGTCTTATTCTGATTTCAAATTTGAAAACCTGAAGAATAAAAGAAGAAGAATGAATGAAAGCCTCACTTTTTCTGTATTATGATCAATTTTATTGGTGAAAGATTGAATTTTGACTACTTCTTTGGAAATCAATCAGAAACTGTGTGGAAGGTTAATATTTTATTTTATTTTTTGGGGATTATTTATTGGCAGTAATTGGATTGCAATCATTTTTTATAGATTTTTCTCGGGATCCATTGGGCAGGGTCTGCAGATTATGTTCTATGGCACTTTCTGATAAATTATATATATAATATGATGTTAGGTTGGAAATAGAGGGGAAATGTTTATTTCATGAGTCCTATGCTATGAATTAACGGTTTTGGAATCGTAGTAATAAGCTGTTGGATGAAAACTCAGTGAGGGAGACCATATGTAGAAACCAATGTTGCATCATGTAGGTAATGATGAAACAGATGACTTTTCTCATAGGTTAATTAATAAATCTCTTAGGGGGAAATTGAGGCTATTGAAGATTTTCCTTTTAAAAACTGGAATAACTTTAATGAGAGAACAATAGAAGTTTACTTTTTGGGAGAAGTTTTAAATATGTATGTAGATCATGTTTCAGTCCACAACTCCACTGCAAATTTTTCTGATTAGAGGGTACCCATGGATTTGGAAAGCAATTGACCCGCCCCCCAACTTACCTCTCTCTCGCTCTCTTTTCTTTTTTCTCTTCAACCTAAGAAAAGGAACATTCAAGATCTGAGTCATGGCGTAAGCGTTCCCTGTCATGAGTTGACATACCACTGGACCAAAAGGGAACATAAAGAAAGAGGGGGCGATCAAATAAACCGGTGTGCCTTTTCTCTAAGACACAGATCTCTTCTTGTAGAGCCCGTGGAAGGATGTGTGTGGAGCCATGTATTTTTTTTTCTCACTTATTTTGATGCAAGAGACTGATGGGCTGAGATAATTAGTGATGGGCTTAAGATAATGGGTTAGTTAGTTTGTTATGGAATTTATTCTAGAATATTCCTAAATAATTGGATATAAGAAGGGAGTGTGGGAGTGTGAGGTATGCATGTATTCAGAATATTTGGAGTGGGGTTTTGGGAAAGGATCTCTTGGGATCTCTTTGGCCTAGGTATATTGGCTTGAGAGTGAGTGAGGTCTTTTGGTGTTTATTTTCTGCATTTTATCTTTGTAAGGAGCTTGGCTCCATGTCTGTTTTCATCATTTTCAGTATTATAAAAGTAGGTTCCATCAAGTTGGTATCAAAGCACTACAATCCTGGGAGTGCTCTTTGATCCAGATCTGAAAAATAAAAATAAAAATGGAAGACAGATTGACGAAGGTTGAGAAGAGCTTGGATCGTGTGGAGGAAAGAATGGGTGAAGTCGAAGACTCTGTTCGTCAATTGAGAGAGACGATAATGGAGCTCATTGATCGAGCGGACCCATGGGAAAGGAGATCAGTTATTGAAAAAAAAAAGTTGTTGCTCATGGTGGTGATTGTGGAGAGAGAGTCTCACATGCGACACTAAACCAAAGGGAGGAGGTTCCCTACTTCACTGACGAATATCTATATGGGTGGATTTTGCAGGCGGAGCATTATCTTAAGGTGAATCAAATCTCTGTTGAAAAACAAGTGGCGATAGCTTCAAGTTGTTTTGAGGGAAGGGCGAAGTGGTGGTTCCAATGGTGGAAACCAAGAAATCCAAAAATCACATGGGAGGGATTTCGCTCGGCAGTCCTGCAAAGATTCCACAGCTTTGTTCACGGGAAACCATACGAAGCTCGAACAACATTCCTAACTGGTCTTAAGGAAACAAATCGAGGGGAAGGTGCAGAAGTAAAGGCGTACAAAAAAGGATCAAAAGAAATTAAAAAAGAGGAAGAAAAGCAAGAGGTAGAGGTTGAAGAAGAAGAACAAGAAAAACATGAGGAAGAGATGAAGGCGGAGATTCGCGCTAAAATCTGGTTGCAATCAGTAGCATATATGGAGGGCATTAGGTTGTTAGCTCAATGTGAGAAAGAAAAGCTTGAAAGAAACGAAGAGAAAGAGATGGTTACTGGGAAGACGGTGAGCAGTGAGCTGTAGTGGGTTGAATTATAATGGGCCTGGATCAGGACAATATATTATAGCCTGTTCCAATAATACAAATGGAGAAGGAATTTGGGGATTGGGGTCTAGTTCACGAAATGGGCCAAACACTTATCACCACAAGCCCAATTCAAGTGGTAATGTCAAAACCAATGGGGCTCAACAACAACCCAATAACTCTGTAAACTAGAAACATGATGATGGAGGAGTGAGCTTGGGCATTCAAAATGGGTCCAATTCATTTCAGCAAAAGCCCACTAGCACAAGTTATAATGATGGGGGAAACGGGCTCAGTTCTTTACTAACAAGGCCAATGACTTACTTTTTGCACAGGGGCTGATGATGTATGCCCCAGGAGAAAGGCAGGGTTCCACACAAGGAGAAATAGTGAGCAACACCAACGTGAACCAGAGGAGGATGGCGCGATGTTGCTGCTTGTCGTCGGAGGAAACGGTGGAACAACGGCGGCGCGACCTATGCTTCATGTGCGATGGGATCCTGGTGGATGTTCAATTACATCCCCTATTCTCTTCCTCACCTTGAGGACAAGGTGAATTTTGAATGGGGAGTATTGATGGGCTATGACTAGTGGGCCCAAGTTCAACAATGCAAATTAGTTAGTGAATTAGCTAGTTTGTTAGGAAAACTATTCTAGAATATTCCTAGAGTATAGAATAAAAGGAGTGTGTGTAGGGTGATAGGGGGATATTGAGTATTTTGGTGAATTGGGTTTTGGAAAGGATCTCTTGTGATCTCTTTGGCCTTGGTATTTTGGCTTGAGAGTGAGTGAGGTCTTTTGGTGTTTTATTTGTTATTCCTTTGTATTTCCTGTTACCTCTTTGTTATGCTTACTAGTTAGTGTCTCTGATGAATATTGAGATAATGGAAGTATTTTACTGTCAATTGTTGTTTTCTTTGCTGTTGAATATTTTGGGTTCCATCTATTTGTGTGTCTCTATTGATGTGTCTCTATTGATGAGAGCTGGACAACCCAAAAACCCGGATCCAAATTTTGACCCGGTTCCCATCTTACCCACATACGACCCGTTTCTTCCCAGAATCGTTTCTTTCTCCTCCTCCCTCTTCTTATTGTTTTCCATGTCATTTTTCTCTTTTGCTGCCGCCTCTTTTTCCTTTTCTTCTTCTTCATCTGCTACTTCTTTTTCGTCTCTTCCACTATCTTCTTCTTCCGCGTTTGTTTTATCTCAATATTCCTAAATTGATGGAACCCAAAATATTCAACAGCAAAGATAACAACAATTGAACAGTAAAATACTTCCATTATCTCAATATTCATCAGAGACACTAACTAGTAAGCATAACAAAGAGATAACAAGAAATACAAAGGAATAACAAATAAAACACCAAAAGACCTCACTCACTCTCAAGCCAAAATACCTAGGCCAAAGAGATCCTTTCCAAAACCCAATTCACCAAAATACTCAATATCCCCCTATCACCCTACACACATTCCTTTTATTCTATACTCTAGGAATATTCTAGAATAGTTTCCCTAACAAACTAGCTAATTCACTAACTAATTTGCATTGCTGAACTTGGGCCCACTAGTCATAGCCCATCAGAGACCAAAGAAATAACTTGGAACAAGATTTTGTTTTTTTATATTCAAACTAGAAAGAAATTTACTAGGGTTTATTAGACTGCTTTTGAGTCACTTGCCTTTTGGTTTCTTACCATTTTGTTTCCTCACACTTTCACTACTTCACTTCTTTCGTTGTGGGTGTTAGACAAGGAACCTCATTTAAAATGAAGGCTCTCCCCTCATATCGGCCTGGCTTTTAGGAGTGAGATCTCCTCTACATATTGCTGTTTAGAATTTGTTTATTTTGCCTTTTTAGTTGCTGTTGCTAAACATGATACAGTTGTAGCTCCCTACTATAGACCCACACAATGGATCTGACCCTTCCTTGGACCCTGCGCATAGCAGGAGTTGTATTGCACCATGTTGCCCTTTTTTGGATATTTTATGTGTTAGCATTATCCTGTAATGGAAGATGCATATTGTTCTAACCTTACGTTTTTGCTTGAGCTTATACGTAAAGAGTTGACAGTGGACCAATATCTGTAATTGGTGTTGCTTTGAAAAAGAAATTGAATTATTATACCTTGATGATTTTGGTAGTTTTAGTCTTCTTATATTTAAATACACATGAATTCCTGTAATATAATTTTATTTTTTTTGGAAATAAAGGGAAAGAAAAACAATTTACAAACAAGCCTGGGTGTAGAAACACCCATAATATCATTCTGCACAAGCAAGACGCAGCCCTTTGGGGGTGGGTGGGTGGGTGTTTGGGGGGGGTGGGGGTTTCTTCAAACAGGACAGTATTCCAGTCTTGGGATAGGGAGATATTAGCCATCCAATCAGCAACCATATTACCTTCTCTATGCGAATGGGAGATATTATCTATCCAAGGACGATTAACAAGAGTCTGGATTTTATGAACCAGGTTGTAGCAAGGTTTATGAGGCTCACAGCCTCTAACCAAGAGAGTGACCATTGTAGAGGAATCACGCTCCAGCAAAACAGATTTAAAACCTTTCCTCCAAGCTAAGTCAAGACCAATAAGAGCTCCCCATAATTCAGCAACTTGGGAATTGCCTCTACCAAGATTCTTTGAGAAGCCCACAATCCATCGACCATTGCAGTCTCTAATCACACCACCACAACCCATTTTTTCTGGTATCCCATTTACAAGCCCCGTCTGTGTTCAACTTAATCCAGCCAATGGGAGGGAATTGACATTTGATAAATATTTCCTGTTTCCAGCTAGGAGGAATCCCAGCACTAGAGAGAGTTCTCTCAGCAAGCAAAATGTTCTCAGTGAAAGATTTGGCTCTAGCAATAACATAGTTTTGGGTTTTACTGCAGCCTTTGAAAATGAAGTTGTTACTCTCTAGCCAAATCATCCAACAAATTACACCAAAAAGGATGTTCCATCTTGGCTGATGGGATCTAGCCTTCCTCCTACTTAGATTAGATTCCAACCAGTCCAGGAAATTTAAGTTAAAAAACTGACGCCTCTGCTCCCTGTCAACCACCTTTAACCAAAGAGCTCTAGACCAGCTACAATTCCTAAATATATGTAGGCAATCCTCCACGAGGAAGTGGCAACGCAAGCACAAGCTCCCAAACCCCATGTGTCTTCTATTTCTAGCATCATTTGTAAACAGATTTTCACCAATGAGGAGCCAAAGGAAATTCCTAATTCTTTGAGGACCATCCCACTCCCAAGCTAAAGACCAGTTTCTCCTAGCATCGGAATCAGAAACGGGATTGAGCAGTCTATAAGTGGGACTTGATTGAGAAAGCCCCATTGTTAGAAGCATCCCCAAATAACTCGTTCTTCTCCATCATCCGGGGATGGGGGGACAATTCCAGAAATCCAAGAAAGTATATCAGCTGGAAGGAGATGGTTAAGTCTATTCCAATCCCAGCAACCATCCTGCACCACAAAGTCATCAACAGTCTTCGCAAGATCAGATTCAGGGATCAAGTCAACAGCAACATCCAACAATCTATTCACCTTGGGAACCCACTTATCCAACCAAAACCGAGTATTTTTTCCATCCCCCACTGTAATATAATTTGACTGCTTAATAAAGAGGCTAGTTACTGACAATTCTTTCACATTTCTGTTGTAAACTATCTTTATGCTTGCTACAATTTGTAACAGCGTAGAACAAGTTATAAATACCCAAGAACATAAAAACAAGATCAACAGTCAAATTCAGTCATGTCCTAGATAATTATTGTAACTGCTATTACTTGTTCCATTGTTGAAAAAATGTACCCAGTTGCTTGTGTACGAGTCATTTCATATGTCCTACCTGTTTGACTCTGTTTTGTTTTCCTATGATGATCAGTCCTTCAACTGCAGTCGAGGGAGGGCTTACCTTGTCAGCAATGTGTAAGTTATTTGCAATGTTTGCTTCTATTCCTTGCCCCCTGCCTTTCCCTACTTTTTCTCAGGTTTAGTAGTGCACTTTCATATAGACCTACTTTGATATCTGTTCAGTATTTGGCAACGGATGAATTTAGTAGTCCCACCCTTGCAGGGCCCTTACTACACCCTTAAGCATCTTTTCCTCTGTTGATTTGGAAAATGGATTGAAACATTATGGGTTTATTAGTGATATAAAAAATTATAATTTTCTTCTGGTTCAGACAAGTAGCACCTTTTTTTCACCAATCATCACCTTACCTAGCATCTTCTTGACTGACTGTTTCCAATGTCCTTGTTTGTTAATTTTTGGCCTCTGATAGGGTGAATATAATGCTTGGGCCTCAGGTGGAGAGATTGATGATGTCTGGAATGCACACAGTTGAAGATGTATTTTGTTGCTGCTGTGGACAAATTCTCGGATGGAAATATGTAAGCTTTACCTTTGCACCTTTTTTTCCCTTTCTTGTCATACTTTTGGTCACTATAAGGGATAAGCATCCTAAAGCTTGTTATTAATATGGAATTTTGTGAAGATTTAATCAATAGAATTTATGGGAAAATTTTATGGGCTTGTGGATTTTATTTCATGGAGTTCGTTAAGTTTGATATGTTTTGTTTCAGAAGTGACAAGTCTAAAGAAATGGGACTTCTTTTGGGAAGAGTTTAAAAATACGAGAATAGTCTAACGAGTAATAATGCTAATTAAAACTCAACTTTAGAAATTCTCTAACTTTTTTTTAATTGTTGTTCTTTAGTGTTAAAGAAATTGGAATTCAATCTGGGGGTTCCACTTAGTATTTTACACAGGAGAAAGTTCCTTGACGTCATTAATTTGGGATTGGGGATGAGTCTTGAAAGTTTAAATTAGCAATCAATTTGATGTTGGCAAATCAGAAATTTAAAATCTGATATTTCTAGATGTCTATAACCCCATGAATACTATGAATCGTATCCATAAAATAAAACCATATGAAACGCTCAAATTGACCATATTTCAAGTTTCCAACAATTTTATTGCTAATAAATGAACAAACAGGAAAGAATTTTCTGGTTTCCCTATCTATTTTGTATATGTAATTCGTTTATGATCTACCATGAAAAAAAGTGAGCTGCATTTTGGGTGCTTGTCATCTTTTTAAGTGTAAGTTACTATTAAGAGATTGTTTTCTATCCCACGAGAAAGTAATTGAAATTGATGCTATAAAACTCTAGATTTGTTTAATGTCGTCCTGTTTGGACAGAAATTAAACAAGATGTCATGGAAAATGATTCAATTGCACTCGCAGAGAATCCCAAATTATTTAAACTTTTAATGCCATTAGGAAAGAGATCGCTTCTGGATTTATTTAGAAGGATTATCTGTAGAAACACACAAGGTAACATCTTTGGTATAAAGCACTAGGTTGAGTCTTTCTGTGTTCCTGCTTCAATCTAAATTGGTCTTATCACCATATAGCCGCATCACTTTTTGATGAGCTCAAAGCAGTTTGAACTTTGAAGTAATAATGAGTTTGGATTTATTCAGGTTGTAGCACATGACAAGAATGAAATGTACAAAGAAGGGAAGTTTGTGCTTGAGAGGTATAGAGTAAAACATGGTTTTGACTTTGATCAATGTTAAGCTAAGCTAAAATTTGATTACTGTTGGTGCATCTAACAGATGGAGGATAGTTGACGACGCTGCAGAGGAATTAAATCCGGATGCTCGTGCTGGTTCAAGTGATTCAGAAAACGCCTAGCAAGTTGTTTTTTTCTTCTTGAGTTTAAGTATTATAGCTAGCAAATATATTATACCCCTCTAGACTCTAGTGTTCATCAAGATAAAATTTAACAAAGAAACTCCTTAGTTGGAGCAACTAAATAATCTCCATCATTTATTAGTCTTAAGATAGCGCACTGGATCTTGCTATATATTTATGGAGAGCATATAATAGGCATATCCTGAGGAAACATCCTGCATTTCCAGCGGGTTGGAAGTGCAATTCATCATATTTTATTAGTCGAACTTAACATTTTTACTTTTCTTGGTCTCAACAATAATTCAGATATATGTGGAAAGTTAGGTTACTATTTTAGCAATAAGTTTGCAGTTATAATTTTACAGTAGTAGGGTTTGGGGACATTGACCATTCTACCATCTTTTTGAATATAATATACCTGAATGCCATGGAGTAGAATTTTTTTTTCAAACTGTCACAGTACCGTAGTCGCTGAGATAGTCAGCTACTATGGACGGGACACGTGTCACGTTCCCAGTGAATGGACATGCAACTCATTCAACCCAAAGTAGTTGAGGTAGTTAGCTAATTTGGTGCAATCAGACCTTCCAGCCATTGAGAAAGTGACACGTGTCCCATCGTAGCTGACTACCTCAGCGACTATGGTACCGTGGCAGTTTGGAATTTTTTTTTGAATTCGTGGCATTCAGGTAAATTATATTAAAAAAAGAGGCAGTATGGTCAAATGTCCCTTGGGTTTGTTGTTATGTTATCATATGCATCAGAGTCAAAGAGTTTCTTCCAGAGAGAGGGTAAAGATAGTAATGATATTATATGAGATGAGTAGAAGAGGTTCCCAAATCAACTAGTTCAAGACGAAAAATATTCTGTACTCTTTAGACTGGTAGCCGTTTTACCTTTCTAACTAAAATAGAACATGTATATCTGGAGCCTTGAAATGAATGGATTGGCACAAACTACGTAAATTATCACTATCATTCATGTGGAACCATTATATTTTAGGGAAAAGTGTCTATCATTTAAAATTACACAACTTACATCCTTTCACTCTCACAAAGAGGTGGGACCCACACCTTTATTTTTTTTGTCAACTCTCTCTCCTACTTTATCTATCTCTTTCTCTCTCTTAAAATGATACAACTTTACATCCTTTAAAATTATACACACTTTTTCCTATATTGGGTAATATTACTCTCATGTAACATGAGAGTAGTTCTCTCATGTTACAGAGAGAATCCAAGTAGGACCCACTTTTTAAAAGCAAAAAAGAAAAAGAAAAAAGAAGGGGCACGATTTTCGAAGTGAGAGAAAATGAGATAACTACCTCATGTAAAATGAGAGTAATATTTCCCTGGGAATAAACCCTTTAATTTATCATTTTATCATGATCATGTTATTCAGGCATCGTAGCTATTTATTTGATATTTAATGAAAAAATTGTTAAAATGGAAAAGATAAAATAGTCATTTTAATTGTTGATCATTAATCTACAATGAAACGGAATCAAGAACTCCAAGATTGACTTTGCTTGAGCTAGGTTAGCTTGTTTCTGTGTATTCATTATTTTTTTCTTTCACCGTAATTTCGGTAACTAAGATTGTGGTCAAGGTTTTTGGTTCTTAAAATTGTTTTGTAAAGTAACTTTTAAAAACTATTTTGTAGAATAATAGATGAAAAAAATTCATTTAATAACATTATTTTGAAAATAGTTTCAAAAGTTAAAAAAACAAAAAAATTGTTTGGTAGATTTGTTTCTAGAATGTGATTTTGAAGCAAAAAAACGGAAAAAGCTATCAATCACACCAAAAACCATAAGAACATATTGGGCGGCTACAAGAGCTTGTAGGCACAATGTTAATTTTAGCTTTTCCATTTTCAAATAATTTTCATCGTGCCATTACTGAAGTTCTTGTTTTAGATGTTTTTGTTGTTTTGGGATCTGATGCACGGACACTTTTTTTTTGGGGGGGGTGGGTTCAATATTTGATACGTAATCAATATTTTTTGATACTTTTTTTTTAATCTAAATTTTATTTTATCTTTATCTTTTTAACTAAATATGAAAAATTAATTTATAAATCAAATATTTTCTATTGTGAAATTTGACCTGAAAATGTAATAAGGCTTGAATTTTTTTTATATATATTTATGTTATAAAATTTGAATATTTAATTGATTATATGACTTATTATGAGCTGTTATATGTATTAAATATAAATTATATTAAAAATATTATTGAATATCAAAATGTGTCCTAACGTGTCGAAATTTAATATTTTTTAGAATTAACATGCTGTCGTGTCGTGTCCCATGTCGATGTTAGTGAAACATAAATTTTGGGAGTAAAAAATTGAAACACAACCAAAACATGATAAATGTGTTCTGTAAATTTGGTTTTAAAAACTGAAAATCAGATGTTGTTTTCAGAATTACTTGTACAAAACACTGATTAACAAACATCTTTTTTTATTTTTCTACTCTTAAAAAAAAAAAAAATTGTTTTATAAAATAAAAATCAAACAGAGCCTTGGGCATATTGCTATTGTAGTTATCAACGCATAAACAAACATAATTTGGCGGGTTGATGGCGGGCATAGACGGGCTGAGGCGGGTCAGTGTAATATAGGCTTGGGCTGGCGGGCCAACCCGCTAAACGGGGTGGGGGGCTGAGTTTTTCAGCCCACTTTCAAAAGCGGGGCGGGGCGGGCTGACTCATTTTTTAGCGGGTTGATGGCGGGGTGGGGCGGGGCAGGGCAGACCGCCCACTTTGCATTCATCATGCAACATAATCACAAAAAGTTTCCTACACACACAACATTTTATGGGCCCATATTTTTTGAAGCAAAAAAAAAAAAAACTACGGCACGCAAAACGAATCTCTATAACATAATACAATCACTTTTTCTATAACATAACTTTTATAAAACCCATATATATATATATATATAAAGTATTTGTCATTTTAAATGACATAAAGTTATGTAATTTTAAGAGAGAGATAAACACATAATAATTTTTTTTATTTAAAATTTAAATTTAAAAAAAAAAAACCAACTACTTTTTCTCTTATGATTTCCATTCCTTGTGTCTATCTCTCTTAAAATGACATAACTTGTATCATTTAAAATGACAAACATCAAACCCATATATATATATATATATATATATATGGGAAAAATATTTCTGCAGTTAATGCAGATAAGTTATCTGCATTTATTTCCAAAACGACGTCGTTTTGGTATTGAAATCTTAAAAAATTATAAATATAAATACTATTATAACCCTGAAATAAATTAAAATTACAAAAATACCATGATTTCCGCCCCAAAACGTCGTTGTATTGGGCTTACTGCAGATAACTTATCTACAATAACTGCAGAAAAAGCGAACCCTATATATATCTAGGGATTTGCATTTGTCATTTAACATGACACAACAAACTTTCCTACACACACAATATTTTGTGGGGCCCACACTTTTTGAAGAAGAAAAAAAACTACGGCACGCAAAACGAATCTCTATAACATTACACAATCACTTTTTCTACAACATAACTCTTATAAAATCCATATATATATATATATATATATATATATATATATATATATATAGGGTTTTGCATCTATCATTTAACATGACCACAACAATTTTTCTACACACAACATTTTGTGGGACCCGCAATTTTTGAAACAAAAAAAAAAAAAACTCTGGCACGCAAAACGAATCTCTATAACATAACACAATCACTTTTCCTACAACATAATTCTTAGGATCGTAGGATCTTCAGCTCTTAATGTAATATGAACGCATGTGATTTTCTTAGGATCTTCAGCTCTTAATGTTTAATTCAATTGAGATTGAGCTAAGGAATTAGGAATACTTAGTTAATCAAAAGCTTAATTTAACAATGACTTGAGTTTAAATAAAATGCAAAAACTAAATCATTGATAGGAAATGTGAAAAGAAAATTGAACTTGGATTATTTACGAGTTTGGAAAGCTAGGTGAAATCTACCCCGAAGTTCTTCCAACCCATTATTTTTCCATCACTTGTAATTTCTCATTGTTCTTGTCAAACTTCAAAATCCAAAAATATTTTAATTTTATGCATTTTTATTAGTTGATTGCAGTTAAAACTTCCTGCAATCTAAATTGCTAGTCCAAATAGTGTCAACTACCTGAATTGATAATTGGTTCACAATTTTGGTAAAGAGAATACTTATACTTTCACTATAATACTTGCAGGATTTTCAGTACACTGCCGAAAGCATAATAAATCGTCACACTATTCTTCCAAAAAAAAATATAGATCGTCACACTAAAAAAGAAATTGAAAGAATTGTCTGGCTGGTCTGGATTTTGTTAATTCTCTATCCTTAGTTCTTTAATGAACAGTATAACAATATGATTTCTATAACCAATTCAACCATAAAAGCTTACTACTAAAAAATTCTCTAACAGATGGAAGAAAAAATAAATCTTCTATATAGTCTCAAATAGGACAGTAGAAAGAAAAAAAATTAAACATGATAATGGACAAAATTTTCTGATTTACAAATTACCAGGAGGGTTCTCAGCACGTAAGAAGTGATTCAATGGTCTCAAGGAACTTTCAATATTTAAACATGGTAAGGAGGAGAGCCATCAGAAGATCAGATTACACTGCCAATCATTCAAGAAATCAGGAGGCCGGTTCTCCAATTTGAAAAATAAAATCCAATTGAAGGCAGGAAACAGAAGAATACCAAGGCAGACTTCATTGGGTATCAGAATGATGGGATGGTATCATGAAAGCAAGATAGGCCCACTCTCAGCAGCAATGCGGGTGTTGCCATGATTAAGAGGCCTTGTCATCTGAACGTCACGTGTAAAATGGGTCTTTGCTTTTGCATACGGAGCTGCTGCCCTTACTGCAGGGGAGAAGGAGCATAAATTTTCATACAACATTTTCCCAAATTCAACCTAGGCTTAAAGTTAGGCAATTAAAGCCAAACTAAGCTTAGCTCAATATGAAATGTAACCCATTTTATTGACTTCAGTGGAAGTGGAACAAACACACTAAGTTTTGTTAGTATAACTGCAATCCACAAATGACGAATATCCCTTACCTGCAATTTGCTGAACTCGGAGGATATTCTGCTTCCTTTTCCACCAACAAACTGAACAGGTAATAAGAAGGAGAAATATAAAAGAAGCACCTAAGCCAATGCCAATTTTGGCCCCGGAAGAAAGATGAGGTCCACATGAAGGCAATCCAGGTATACCACACAGACCTGCATTGTCAGTAAAACTGCAGCCATCTAAAAGTTAGACTTAGAAACATTAATTACTCTGCGTAAAGAAACGGAATAAATAACATATGGTATCTCCTCTCGTCGCATACGTATTCAATAACTTTTGTCTATAGCTTAGTCATGGATAACATACTTGAAGCTGGCTCTGTGCAGCAGTCTTTCTCCAAGAGTTGCTGGGACCCTTCCAGACAGGATGTTGCTGTTAAGATTCCTGCAGGAAGACATTTTAATACAGATTTGTTGACTTCATATTTGTCATATGAACAAACACTAGAGAATCTTACAGTCTTTGTAATGATGTCAACTGTCCTAGGCTATTTGGAATTGATCCATTGAAAATGTTATAGGACAGATCACTGCATGATTCCATGGCATTCAGAAATGACATTAATTAGATAGCCAAAGCCAATGGCATTCAGAAATGACATTAATTAGATAGCCAAAGCCAAGACAACCATTTATGGAATGACACGGTGCACAACTTTCAGAAACTCAAAACAATGGAAAAATTTTATGAGAAGAAAAAGAGGAAGAAATCACTTACAGCACTTGCAGGCTAGTTATTGTACCAAGTGAGGATGGAATTGCTCCATGGATGCTGTTTCCACTCAAATTTCTGTAATGCATAAGCTAATAAGAATAAGGAATAGGCAAATGAACCTGCTGGTTGTTTCTGCTTATTAGCAAATAATGAGTTAAAAATAGGAAAAAAATAAAGTGGACAAATTACTCAAGTCATAAGTATGGTTTTATTGTCACTGATATATCATGCATAATACATACATACATACATCTATGTAGTGAGATAAATATTGAGACATAAATTTTTATCCAAAATACTAAGGAAACCTTTTAGAACTCACAGGATCTGTAGATTAGCTAGTCTGAATATGTCATTTGGCAAGTAACCCTTCAGACCTTGATTGTCAAGACCACTGTTCATAAAAGATCAAACCCTAATTAACCGAGATATTGAGATTAAATATTCAACATAGATTTATCACAAAATACAATATCTTTGTGCCCCAGTGGAACTAATCTCTTCGCTCTGCAAGGTGCAGTTCTATGATTTTTTTAGGTTATAATATATTTTTTGTTCTTATACGTAATACTTGTTTTAATTTAGTCTCTATACTTAAAAAGTTTTCAATTTAGTCCTTATACATTCAAGGATTTTCAACTTCGTCCTCGTCGTTTGTTGCCGTTATAACATAGTGATATTGGGTTCGAGTTATTCTATAGGGACCAGATTGAAACTGATTGTCATGCATATGGTGTAAAAATATAGTATTTCTAGTCCTTATATGTGATACTCCCTCTCAATTTGATCCCTACATTTCACTGTGTTATAACTCCAAACAGAAAGGACCAGATTGAAAACGATGTAGGAATTAAATTGAAAACTAAACAAATTAAAAATAAGTGTTACATATAAGGATCAAAATATATTTAAACCTTCTTTAAAATAAAATCGTCCCAAAAGAAATTTAAGAAGGGGGAGGGTCAATGCAAGGGTTATTACCTCGTTGAGGAGCAAACAAGGTGATATCAAATGCACGCACACGCACGTAAACATAGGTGGATTTCACTCTTTTTCTCTCTTCTCTTCATAAGACCCTACCCACTCTCCTAACACGCGCGCGCACACACGCGTAAAAATAGGTGGATTTCACTCTCTCTCTTCTCCTTATAAGGTACTACCCACTCTCCTATGTATGCAGGAGAAATATTAAACCCTATATATTAATTACTGTTTGAATGTAAGCTTTCATTATGCATAGAGAAATACATACGGCCAAAGCACAAAAATCTTCCTTCTTTCCTAACAGAAGGAAATCAGCTCCGGTGCTTAAGAAAAAAATTGATTCTCTGTTTTGGTACAATTCGAGAGAACAAATTGTTAAAGTGAAAAGGAGTAAAAGAATTAATGAGATGAGAACAACACTAAATGCTACCACACAATCAAATGTATAATAAAAGTTTTACATAAGGATAGCAAGAAATTACAGTCCATCAATGACCCAGCTGCCGCTACTTTTGTCTAATTGGCAATCCACTCCACTCCATGGATGTTGCTGAGGAACACATGGATCACCATTCCACCCAAACCTGGGCGGAAGCCCCAGTGCTGTCCTCAATGTTTGTAAAGCCTTAACTAGAGTAAATGAACAATGATCAATTTGCAAAAGTTCAAATGCATTCCAATTACCAAAAACTGCATTTGCTACAATTAATAGTTCATAAATCAGAGAACAAGTAAGGAAGATGCATGACAAAAGCAGTCAGAAAAGGAAAAGTATAAGGAGACAAAAGAGATCTAACAAATATGACATTCAATCAGAACGTAGCACAGCTTGTGGCATAAAATCCACGCTGTACTCTTGATAAGCTATAGACCCAAAAATTGAGTATCTTGAGATGCGTAATAAAATAAGGCACAAACTGTATAATTCAACATCATAATACAGTTCCTAGGCATGGACATAATGTTATCACTCGTTTCCAATGACATAACACAAATCCTGATTGAGGATTTCAAAGTCATTCACGTTCTCTGCCAAATTCAGTTCTGGTTTTCTTTTTTTTTTAATCATATAATGAATACCATATATCATTAGTATGAATATTCATGCTGAAAAAACAGTAACAGGGGTGGAGATCAGCACACGTACCTTCCTCCGATAAAGTTTTTGACTCAGCCATTATAACCTCAAATATCTCAATGGCATTGATTATGGCGAGATCACCTTCCTTTGGGCTCAATGTAATTGTCAGAGTCCTCCCATCAACGCCAACAGTTGTATTAAGCACAAGGGCAGTATAAAGATCCCCACTCAATTTTACAATGTCAACATCTTTGAAAGCACGATCATCGTTTATCATAATATCAAAGACCCTTTGCCCCACACCAGTCACTGAATTATCAATCTCTGCAAAATGTAACCAAATAGAATAGTTTCGGTTGGGATCCACCTCCAATGTATATGTTAAATCAGGGTGCCTATTAGTACTAACAAGCGCTGACTGATAAAGAGATTCTGGATAGAAGTTTGGTGGATGTGAAGCCTGACTTATTCTACTTTCGACAGATCTCGGTCGATCTGAATCCTGAGCAAAACTTTTAATGCCTTGCCAAAATCTGTCCCCTCCCCTGGCATCCCCACCATAATCTATGCCAAATCCTGATTGGCCAAAACCACAACTCAGTCTTTTAACTGTTCTAAGTATTATCCCTTGGCTCCATTGCGGAACAAAATAATAAGCTTTATCATCGATTTGAAGAATCTCGATAGAAAGGATTGCTGGATCTCCATGACCAGTGCTATGGAAACAGATTGAAACAGAATCATCCGTAAGAAACACTAGGGCCTCGGCAAATACTTGATCATTGTGATTGGTCCAACCTGATTTCAAAGAATATATTTGAGTGCCTTCAATAGAGACGTCAAATAGAGGTTCACTGATATCTCTAGACTGACTAACAAGTCCAAAAAAGATCCTGACTGAGTAGTGACCCTTTGGCACTCCATTAATGTTGTAACAATTTTCAGGACCTTCAGACAAGGGGAAAAAGCGGAGAGTGTTGAGTGGTGGGGTAATGTAACTTGGACGAGTTGCATTTGTGGCTATGCCTCCAATATATCCAAAATCTTTACGCCAAAGGGTAGTGGTTGGTATTGTTTGAACATTTTGACTAGCCCCACAGCTTAACCGCATAGCAAATGGTGCTGCAGTGATTTAAAGCATATCAAAGGAGGAGAAAACACAAAATATTCACTCAATTTTGAAAATCCTAATCCTGTGGCATGTGCAAGCAATCAAGCTAGTTCATTGACCCTCAGATTCACCAAGAAAATAGCTACAACCATGTAAAAACTGCCACTTCAGATGTAAATCTCAATATGAATTTCGTAGATTGGCAATAGATTGCAAAAATGAAATTTGATCACTTGCGTTAGACAATGTTGAATTGCATGCAATGATTTGTGCAATATGTGTGCTACTTAAAAGCATAACAGGCACAGGAAACCCAAAAAATTCCAATCTTGTAACAGTAATTACTCTTTTTTCATTAGAAGAATAACAATTATTACTCTGAATAGTAGAGTTTAACAAACTTCCCCTAGCTTGTAATTTTTTTTAAAAGAAAATGGTGTTAAAATTAATTTCTTCAAAAGTTTGGACAATCTAACAACTTCTAAGCTTCTCAAGATCATCAAAGTATCCAACGAGGGTGAAAATCCTACCATCCAAACTTGATTACTCCTTCACCATAACCAAAATAGTTAGCTCCAGAGATTAGTTAGATAAAGATAACGAATTTTCGTGTTCTCTATTTAACAATATACCCAGCACAGGTCTTTTCATACATGGACTAAACACAAAAGCTAAAACGTGAAAAAAGTTGAAATATGTTACCCCGTCATTCAAAATTTAAACCAACCAAAAAGAGAAATAAGGAAAGAAAAAAATCAAAAAATAAAATAAAATTCTGAAGCATTTTATTTAGCGCAAGCTCCAATTTATTCAGATTGAAGAATCACATGGATCAAAAGAAAAAAAAAAATGTTCATTGTTTTTCATTGATGACTGAATTGATAGCACAACACTAACAAAAAACACATTGAAAGCAATCTAAATCCAAATATCCTCAAGCATCAACATTTTCCCCTTTGATATACATGAAGGAGAGAGAAAAGAGAAGAACAAGCGAATTGAAGCTCACCTTGACCAGCTTCACAGGAAACAAAAGGAAAACAGAGCATCCATAGCAGAAGAAATCGAAGCAGCATTGTGGGAGGCTTGCCTTCTTTGCTTCTCTCTCTACAACAACTTCTTCTTTCTCTCTCTGTCTCTCGTCGCGTCCCCATTTTTTTTTTGTTGCGTGCTTTTCTAGAGAGAGAAAGAGAAGAGAGACAATGTGGGGTATGCACTTTTTGCAGCACACTCGCAAAATCTTCTTCGTTTTTAAGTCTACTCAGCGAGCGCCAAGTAAAGGAGGGGAACAGTTGTTACTTTGCTGCTGAGCCTTATCATGACCTCTGCAGTTTCAATCAGATGGTGCAGCTCTGCACTAACCAAAATGGCAACATATCACGCCTATCTGTATACTCTTATTTATTTATGATGAATTATTTTTCGGGATTCATAAATAAAGGCAATAAAAATCAAGTATATCTAGAAGTTTATGATGATGATGATTAGATTGACAAGTGAATAATATGATTGTTGATGATGATATTTTTAGATCCTAAGGTGGAGAATGTTTGTGAGGTTTTCATTGAACTTTTTGACTGAGGACGAATTGGCGCGCAATCATCGGGGAGCAGTGTATGTCTACACTTTCTATATATAAATGAATAATTAATTTACATTATTCGATGATTGTTGACAGAGTTTGTTCTATTTGAGCTGGAAGTTTCTTCCTTTAAAACATAAATAAACGAATATTACATTCCCCATTAAAATGAAATTACAACGTATATATAAAACAGTTATAATAATCAATTATAATTAATAAAATAGTATAATTAATTTTATTTAATTCTTAAAATTAAGATATTAGATATCTCTCTTAAAATAAAAGAATTTGAATTTGATTTATGGGGTTTATATTTTTTCAGTCCCTTAATGTCCATGTCTTATTGAGTCAATGCTGACTCATCGTATCTAATCAAATTATATTTGTTGACTCATCCTAATTCAATCAAACATTAAAGTATAATGATTAATCAATTAATAATTCAATTAATTACAATTTATATCTAATATATATATATATATATATATATATATATATTTATTATCAATAATCTGGAGACAAAGTATCAAAATCAATTTCCAATAGTACTCATATCGCACAAAATAATTTTATCAAAGGTAAAATTTATATTATAATTTATTATCTATCACCATCATATATATATATATATATATATATATATTATCACTAATTTATAGTTTATTATTATTATTAATTTATTATTATTATAAATTACTATAATTTTTCTGATATTACATTCTTAATCAATTATTTACCATATATAAAGGTTACATCATTAAATATAGAAAATCATAACCATAAAAAAGGTGAAAACATTAAATGTGAAGAGAAAATCATAACCATAGAAAAAGTGAAAGCATTAAATGAGAAGACAAAATCATAACCATAAAAAAAATGAAAGCATTACATGTGAAGAATCATAACCATATACTCCATAGCACGGACACGTGATTTTTTTGAAAATTTACGTGTCCGACACGTGTCCGACACGGACACGCTCGGACACGCTCGGACACGCGTCCGACACGCGGTCAACATTTGGGGACACGCGGTCAACTCTCCGACACGTTTCGACACGTTTTTCCGACACGCAGTCAACTTTTTCGGACACGCGGTTAACGCTCGGACACGTTTTTTTTTTGTTTTTTTTTTGTTTTTTTTATTTTTTTTATTTTTAAATCTTAATTTTATTACTTTAACTAAATATAAAATAAATAATTTATAAATTAATTTTTTTCTGTTACGAAATTTGACATGAAAATTTAACAAAGTACGAAAAATTATTTATATTTATATTTATGTTATGAAATTTAAATATTTGATTAGTTATATGAATTATTATACACTTTTATATGTATTAAATATAAATTATATTATATATATTAAAAAAATTATTTAATATCAAAACGTGTCCCAACGTGTCGAAATATGACATTTTTTAGAATTAACGTGTCGACGTGTCGTATCGTGTCGTGTCCCGTGTCCCGTGTCCGTGTCCGTGCATCATAGACCATATATATACATATTATTGTTGGACATTAAACGGCCAGAGAATTTTACGTAAAACATTAAATTTCACTCTTTTTTATCCTTATTTCCTTTAAATAGTAATTATTTTCATAAATAATAATTAGTAATTAATAATTAATATTGATGCCATTAAAATTTAAAATTTAAAATTAAATTTATTGTCAAAAATAATAATATAATAACTAACCCGCCAAAGAGAATTGAATTAAACTGTAAATAGATTACAAGTCCAACTATTTCAACAATTTTTTTTTAAAAAGTTATATATGTCAAAAAGTCAAATATTAATTATTTTATATACAAGTCAAATATTAATTACAGTTAGATTATTATTGACTTTTTTCTTTCCTTTTTTATTTAAAAAACTCAAATATTTGGAAATAAAAATCTCAATGATTAATATATAATAATTAAGATAATAAATAATGTAAATATTATTATTTTAGAAATTGAGATTAAATTTATTTACTCAAATAATAATTAATATCATAAATAATTATCATTTATCTAGTGCAATCTTTCATAATGATAATTTAATTATTGATTGATAATAATAAATAAAAATTTAAACTTATTATTATGATAATAAATTGATTATTATTTTTTTCTACCGGAACATAAACATCTCATGATTTCTAAAATTTCAAATCTTTAAAAAATAAAATAATAGCTGGTTAATCACAAATAAATAAAATCACAACACAAATAATAATATTTCACGAATATACACTAGCATTCAATCAATTATGAATTATGTACGATATCATTCACCCAATTTAAATGATATTAAATATTTGAGTTCAAACAAAAAGAAAAAAATAATATCAATAATGTTATAAAACTAAGAAAGAGGAGTTAAGAGAAATAAGAGAAATGTATGGAAGTATAGCAGAAATCTTATTATCCATCTATTATTATAATTTCTATAAGAGTCATGTGCTTATATAGCACTTTAAATATAATGGAGGAGTAATCAAGTAAGTAATTTGAATACATTATTAATATTGTGGTTACATAATACATCAAAAATCATCAACAACTAAAGAATCGTCCATATCATGAGGAAATTGGGTTCGAGTTATTCTATAGGGACCAGATTGAAACTGATTGTCATGCATATGGTGTAAAAATATAGTATTTCTAGTCCCATGTTGTCCAGATATAAACTGATTGTCAACTAAAGTATAGCAGAAATCTTATTATCCATCTATTATTATAATTTCAGTGCGCAGCAGAACCAGTAAGTGGAGCGGAGGTTCAAATGTCTGTCCCAGTTGTCCAAATCATGAGGAAACTATTATTCATGTTCTTCGTGATTGTAGACATGCTAGGAGAATTTGGCAATCTTGGTTTATAGGTTCGATACCCAATTCCTTTATGAATTCGAATTTGCAGGATTGGTTGACTTTAAATATCGATAACATGTGGTCCTCCAATAAAGTGAAGGACTGGAGGGATATTTTCTTTACTACTTGTTGGTTTTTGTGGAAGTGGAGAAATTTGGAGATCCATGAAGATCATTTCTGTCATGATGAGCAATCACAGGCTTCAATTTGGATGTTTGTCCAACAGATTCTGCAAGCCCGAATTTATCAGCGTCGTGGTGATTCCAACGATAGCGTTTGGACAGCCCCCAAGCAAGGTTGGGTTAAGTTGAATTGTGATGGAGCTTCTTCTAGTGGCATGAAAAAAGCTAGTTGTGGTGGTATATTAAGAGATCACAATGGATCCTTTTTGGGAAGCTTCTATTGTAATTTAGGTTCCTGCAATCCTCTTGATGCAGAATTATGGGGATTACTGAAAGGTTTGGAACTGCTTTGGGGAACAGGGTTAAAAAGAATAGAGCTAGAATGTGATTCTAGCCAAGCCATCCAGATGTTAAAGGAGCAGCATGAAGATCCTAGGGACTCTCAAGTCACTAGCAGATTGAGATTATGGTTAAAAGCAGATTGGACTATTCATCTTGTTCATACCAAGAGGGAAAACAACAAATGTGCTCATTGGTTAGCTAAAGCTGGGCAGACTAATAATCTCCATTTCAAGATTTTTAAAGATCCTCCTCCTCAGTTGATGGAACTTATAGTTGCTGATGCTAGAAATATGTCTAGCTTGTTAGTTTCTGATTTGTAATTTCTTTCTGTTTCTGGGGCTTAGCCCCTCTTTATTTACAAAAAAAAAAAAAAAAAAAAAGAATCGTCCATACATCACAAGGTATTTGAGAGGTCAAAATCCATCCATATATTAAAATATATATTTTATAACAAATAAATCATTATTAATAATAAATGTAACGTCCTCTGAATTATAATAATTTAAAAAAAAATTACTTCAAACAAATAAGAATTATTTATGATATTGCCAAGTGGATCCTGTGTCTGGCTACCAAGGAAACACGGACACTTGTAAACACAGGAAGAGTCGTGTCTGACACGCTCCGACACGGCGACACGCTCCGACACAGTGTCGAACACGCGGTTGACTTTTTCCGACACGTTAACCATTCCGACACGCGAATTTGACCGTGTCCGACACGGTCAAATGGCATTTTCGTAAAAAGTTTTTAAATTTTTTTTTTAATTTTTTTTAAAAAAATTAAAATATATTAATAAAGCTTTCACCTGATCATATCAATTTTATTTTTTTTGTCTTTTTTCCCCTTAAGTAGATAAGATATCATCTAGCATCATTGTTGTCAATTCCTATTATGCTCTTGTTGTATCTCCTTCTCTCTGATCTCTCTCTAATATGATTTGATATCTCTATCTGATATTATATTTCTCTCATCCCAATTCTTATTTTTTTTATTAAAACTTTCATCTTTATAATGTGTTGATGGGTATTATTAATTTAGTTTTATTTTTTGTTAAATTATTAAATATTAAATGAAATATACACTATATAAATTAAAAATATTATTTAATATTAAAATGTGTCCCAACGTGTCGAAATTCATAATTTTTTAAGATTGACGTGTCAGAGTGTCGTATCATGTCGTGTCATGTGTCGCGTGTCGTATCGGTGCTACATAGCTGGCTAGATTGTCCAACGAGAGAGACTCTAGAATGCTGGTAATGGTACATGTATGACTCTCTAATCTCGTTAATGGAGCAATGGGATTGATTTGGGCTAGATTCGTTAATAATTTTCATCAGGGGTTATTTCAACAAAAATAAAATTTTGAAAAAAAAGGTACAATATTCTAAAAGCCTATAGACTACGACATATACTTGTCAGAGTGGAAATGGTGTGAGGAGAGATATCTGAAAGGCATCATATTTAGGGAAAATTTTAATATGTTACCGTGGCACTGAGTTGCACTATAAATTCTCGAAAACAGATAATATAAATATTAAAGTTTTTTTTTCTTTTCTCAAAATTATTGGCTAAGACAAATATAATTTTTTTAATATTTATATTATATATTTCAAAAAAATATTTCTGCAATTATCGCAGATATATCTGTATTAACTCCCAAAACGACGTCGTTTTGAGTTTGAAAAATTAAAAAATTATAATTATAAAGACTATAATAACTCTGAAATAAATTAAAATTACAAAAATACTATAATTTTTGTCCCAAAATGACGTTGTATTCCACTCGCTGCAGATAATTTATCTACAGTAACTGCAAAAAAACGAATCCTATATATTTCTAAAAAACGTAATGCAAATATGAGCATCTCATTAAACACTCGTTGCGATAGTGGTACAAAAAATGCTCTTCATATTTAGGATAAAACGGAGTTTCACCAAACAAAATTTGCGAATTACCGAACCATCTTTTTATATAGCAGAACGAATATCTGATATTTTACTTTTAATGAACACATAGTGAATAAATTCTGATAAATGAAGAAGTCTGCGATGTAAAAGAATTAGTTTATATATTTAACCAATAAAATAAAGTTCGTCAAAGATGGTCTGTAATTACACAATGATTGAAGATTTGGTTTTCTTTTATTTTTTGGAAAATAAGGTTTGGTTTTCACTGAATCTTTGCAAAGAGAGGGTCTAATGCCCCACCGCATGAACCCCAGATGTGGTGGTGGAGGGTCCATTTCTTTTACACTACTAATGCTTTTTTTAAGTGAACCACACGATCCTTGCCCCAAAAATGGAAATAAATATAAGACAATAGTAGTGTAAAAGTATTACTTTTTACTATATTTGATAAAATCAGTCAGCGTCAGATATTCTGTATTCCTGGAGCACAGAAACTTTTCTCGGCAGAAGCAGAGGCATTCAACATGTTCAAGTATTTTGGTTATTTGAGCAAGACATTCGTATATAAACATATATGACACTTAAGGATTACTAAGTGCATCTTAAATGTGCATTCGAAGAAATTGGGGGATATTGAGCCGACAAAGAATAATAAGACAATATCTACCAAAACCTAAAAGTTATAATTTATTGGGAGAGTTGAGAGTTTCAAACTCAAAATCAGATTTGTTATATCTACCAAAACAGAAAAATAAAATAAAAACAGGACGGTAGCATGCCGGATGGTCAGCAAGTTAAACATAATAATAAAACATTTTACAACTTTGAATGGCCACACTCATACTTAAATGATTTATGTTTGATGCATTTTTAGTATAAAATATTTCACATTATCTATTAACAATGGAGATCATATCTAACAGAAGGCAGAGAAAAATAAAATTATGTATATTCATTGAGTTCATGTAAAGAACCTTGAGATACACCACTCAAAAAACTAGTTCAAAGGGTGGAAGTGCCCAAGGCCTTATAACTCCACAGTAGTTGCACATACAACCAATGTGGGACTATATATCTCAACACGCCCCCTCACACAAGAGTCCAGTGGACTTGAGTGGATGATGCAATAAGCCCAGCTTACCTGTGCTAAGAAATTTCACAAGAGAAAGTGAGGGGCTGCGAGGATCTGATACCATATTAACAATGGAGATCATATCTAACAGAAGGCAGAGAAAAATAAAATTATCACTTAATTATGCATTGTTTTATCATTAAAAAAGTTTTAACTTTCATAATAATTACCTGGTTTGGAAGTTATATGTAAAACAATACATAATAGAGTGATAAAAAAAACTTAATACTCATGATGCATCAAAATTGAAATCATATATAAAAAACGAGAAGAATATCCATATCTTAAACTTTATATCAGGGTATCTTGAACTTTTCTCCTGCAACAGTTTGTCCTTTAACAGCGGCTGGCTGAATGGCCTTGCATTCGCGGCATGGTGATAGAAAAGACCTTAACACTTTCTGGCCAAACCACGTCCTTTCCTTGTTTTTATGGTTTCTTCCTTTGACAAGTTGTTCATGGTATTTCCTTGCGCCGCTTGTTTGCTCACTTGACATCTTGCTACTCACATGGTGATCAATTACTAGTAATGACCTTAAGGAAACGGTGGGATTTGTGATGAGAGGACGACGATTAATTGGTTGAAATGCAATTGCGTGTGGTTTGATTTGTCCATTGGAAATAAGAACATCAGCAGGTGTTATCTTGATTGGAATTGCACCAGAATTTATGTCTGCTTTAATGGTTGCAAATTCAAAATCTGAGTCTTGCTTGCTTACTTGGGAGTGTTTATTCTGGTTAGGAACAGAGGGCTTTGGTTGTTGCTGGTCTTCGGCAGAAACAAGACCAGCAAAAGAGAGTGAGTCGACTGAAATGCTCTCTGTTGCAACATGCGAGGCAAGCTTGTTTCCTTTACGGGTACCCATTGATTCATGACTAAATTGGTTATCTAACTCCAAAACTTATATATATATGTGTATATGTGCAAAAACTTACATCTTGGGACCACTTTCTCATACAGTTGGATTGTGTTTTGCCGACTCGAAAAGTTTATTTTTTACCCTCTCCATATATATGGGCATATTTTAAAGAAAAATTCTCAAAAATCTAAATCAAACTAAAATATTAAATTTATAAATAGTTACTAAATAATAAATAGTAAGTCACTTATCCAATTATGCGACTTAATTTTACCAATTATGTTAATTAAATTAAAATAGAATTAATGTCATTGTTGTTAAAATCTCGATTTATTACTACGATTTTATGTTTTTACGATTTTTTTTCATTAAAATGATTTTACTAATATTCCAAACGCTTTTACATTTTTACGATTTTTTACGATTTTTTTACATTACGATTAAATGTTTTACGATTTTTTAATTCTCTTTCGATTTTACTTAAGATCTCGATTTTATCATTGGTTAATCTATAATTAATTTAGTTCTTAAATGCAACAACTTGTGTTGAAATATGCCTTTATATAAATTAATCTTTCAAAAGGACAACTTCATTGTTATAAGTTAATCTTTAGGAATTTTGTGTAGACAATTTAATTAAAATGTGTCTACTTACTAGCACTGACTGACAAAAAAGATGAACTTCAGTTGTTATTTTCAAAGACCAATTGTATATACCAACATTTTTAAACATTAAAATAACACTCATTAGATCAAATTATATATATAAATTAAAATATTATTCTGGCTTCAATTATAATAAGTAGCCAATAGAATTGAGTTTGTGTTGAAGTCTATCATCCTTATAGTGGGATTGTCATGTCAACCATTTAGCCCATTGATTCATGCAGGAGAAGTTTGCATATTGGTGGATATTACAATGTAGAGTGATATAATAAATATAATATACTTAACCCTTTCTTGAAGTCATTTTCAAGTCATTTTCTTGAAGTCACATGAAGTGTATCTCAAATTTTTGTCTTTGTTATCGACATGGCATAAATACGAAAAATTAAGAAAAGATTCTTAATTGATATTAATTTTAGTGGGGAATCAAGCATTGAACCCAAAAAACCATCATAAGGTCCAAAATTTCATTAGTAAAATAAAACCTATATGTATGACTTATTCTCTTTTTATTTTGTTGTCACTATGCACACATCTCCCTTTAATTATGTCACTGTTTCATCGTGCACAATGATATATTTACCTAGATCCAATCTCTATCTCCGAATAGAACAGTATTTGTTATTACTGTATCCCTCAAAAACTTGCACAATGCATCCCAACCAATAGCTTGGTCAAGTGGCTAACCCTCGAGCATGGTAAGTCTATTACTCGATGGTTTGTTATTTATCGTGTTGTGAGTCTATCACAGTACACGTTTCACTGTCGTCGGCTTCTATTCTGGTTTTTACTTAACCTTAATGTTTACGAAAGGGTGGACGGAAGGCCAAGACCTGCGTTGCATTGAAGTGACTTTGATTTTCATTTCTTAGAAAGGGTGTGATTATAATTTTCTTGCTGCAAGAGTATATCCTTCCATGAAAGGGTACAGGCCCACTTTTCTGACCCCTCGTAAGCTTGGGAAATTATCCACTTTAACTTCGTAGTTATGCTTCTTTTGATTACCGAATATAAGTAATATGCATATTTTTCAAAAGAAAAAAAGTGTGTATTATTTTAAATGATATAAAATTATGTCATTTTAAATGAGAGAAATAGATAGATAAAGGAATAGAGAATATGAATAAAAAAATACAAAAATGTGAGTCTCACCTCTTTATAAGGCTGAAAATATATAAATTATGTCATTTAAAAAGACAAACACTTTTCCCTTCTCGAAATATTGAAAATAGACGCACAAAGCGGTCCAATGAGAATCAATGCGTTGCTTGTGTTAAATTCCGTGACGTACCTACCGGGAAAAAAGTCTGTTACTTCAGAGAAGTACTATCAAAATAAAATTTAATATTACCGATTTCTTTTCATTATTTCATTAATTATCTAATTAATTCGATTTGATATAGATAAGATTACGAAGATTTTTTCTATAAAATTTTAGAATTAGTGTTTTTTATGTTGTAGCATATAATTTATTTTTTATACACATAAAAATAATGCTATTAAAATCGGATTTATTAATTCGATTGAGATACCGGATCACTGAATTACTGATTCAACTAATGGATCACTGGTTCAACTGTATGATCCATAATTTTATATAAATCTATAATTTATATTAAAAAATTATAAACATACTCTAATAGTTGAAAAAATAATATAAATTTTAAATATTTTAATATGAAAAATAATAAATTATACATTATTGTCTAATAAAGGATCAAACAACATATAATGCTTGTGATATTGATGTTTCAGGTTCAGTAAACGATACTCTAACTATAAATCAAATCAAAGTTCCCTGCATAGTATATAACTAAGATAATATTAGTATTGTAGGTACATAACTTATGTAAGTCAGTAAGTAACAGATATCACTCAACTATGTTAATTATGATTTTTTTGGAAAAGTTTTTTAAAAAAAACTCGGGCCGGGTCACTGGTTAACCAGCCAGGTCACCGATTTTCACCAAAATCCGTCGGGTCACACTGGGTCAAGTACTTGGCCGATTCAATTGATAATCGGACCGGTCAGATGACCGGTTCTCCGGGTTCCAGGTCGATCAGGCCGTTCCGGTCCGATTTTTACAACATTGCATAAAAGTGTGTGAAGTCTATTATTTTTTCTCTCTTCTCTTCGCATGATTTCACGTAGACTCCATATAATTTTTGTTCTTGCAGAAAATAAAATTATTTATTACAACCATATATAGGGTAAGATCCTTTGATACTGGTATCAAATTTTAAAATTTGACACCAAATCCTAACCATTGATTTCCATCAATCAACAGTTATGATTTTCGCCAATCAAATTTATTAATTAATTATTAATTCCTAATAAATGATAATCGTTGATTGGCGAAATCAACAGTTAGGATTTGGTATCAAATTTTAAAATTTGAAAGGATCCTGTCCATATATATATATATAGTGTTTTACTTTTCTTCGACCACTTGACGTCCAGCAAATAAATTCAAGAATGATAACCATAAAAAGGTGGGTGAAAACATTAAATTCTGAGAATCATAACAATTAATAGTGTAAAATTTATTGTTGGATGTTCATCACAACCGAAGAAATAATTTTAATATATATATATACTTGAAAAAAAACTCAATTGAGGGTAGATTTGCAGCATATTTCAGTCCACAAATTATACTGTGTTTTTCGGCCTTGGGTAAGTAGTAAGTACCAGAATTCGTTTTCGATGCATGATCTCTTGGGCCAATATTCATTATTAACATGTTGTACAATAAGCAGGAGAATTCAAATGGCACTGGGCATTTACCGAGGCCACATAGTCATTGAAACGAGAGGCGACTGCAGGCCCATGGTTTCGTTTTGTCTATGGGCCTCTGGGCGAGCTGACTCTAATGGGTCCAAAATAAAGCGCTCAACTCATCCATACTTCTCCCACAGGATTAGCTTGAGCAGCATAGTGTCTTGTAATTAGCTTTTCCCATCTCTTTGTTCTTGACGACAAGAAAGTACTAAATTGAATAGGCTTCTTCTAGAATTTGAGTTCTCGTTTTTTCTTTTACCTTTGAAATGTGACTGTATGACGTGTTATTAAGGTAGTGTTTGGTTGAGGATAAATTTTTTTAAAGTGGGTAATTGTCTTTACTAGGAAAGACGTTGGAAAGTTAGTTTGGTAGGAAAGTTTAAAAAAAGTTATTTGGTAGCGCAAAATATTACTAAGAAAATTGGGTTAAAAATCCTAATGTGTGTTTGGTTGAAAATAAAATTGTGATGGGAAAAAAATGCAAAAGACGAAATTAACCTTTTTATAAAATTAAACATTTTCACTCGCTTTCTTCTTTGAATTGCTACTTGCAACATCCTCAAAGCAACCCCATTTTCACTCACTTCCACCCAAACCCAGTTACTCATACTCTTCAACTTCATGTCCTTTCCCAACCAATCATCCACTTAACAATTGTGTTGTTCATTCCTCACTGTTCAACTCACTCTCTTCTCTTTTAAGTCCAGTCCCTTTTCAGCTAAGTTGTTTGGTTCTATGAAAAGTTTCAACTAAATAAAAAAGGAAGAAAATTTCGATTTGGGTCGTGAGATTTGATCCATTCAAGTTGACTATTCCTGTTGTGACAGCTCTGATACCTTTGGGTTCCAAACTTTCTGTGGTTGACAATAACTGTTGGGTTTCCTCCAATGGTGATTTTGCCTTTGGGTTCTTTAACATTTCTGATGAACCAAACCAGTTCAGTGCTGGCGTGCCATTTTCAACGTGTGGTTAAGAAAGAGGGGGTATATTTGTCATGCCATTTTCAACCATTTTCATTTATCTGATACCCTCAACAAATACCACCTGTTGAAATGGATTCTTCAACAGTGTCAATATCCAATTTTTGCACTTCTTCTTGCATTGCTGGGGAAACCTGTTTGTTAGGGAAATTTTCCAAAAAGCTTCAACCAAACGTGGTTGAGTCAGATTCCCACATGCACTTACCCACCAAAATTTTAACTTCTCCACAACTAAACACTACCTAAGAGACTAAGGGGACGTTTGGTATGAGAGATATTTTTTTTACCGAGAAAAAAAAGTTACAGAGAATATGACGAGATTTTTTTTATCTTGGGCAACTTACAAAAAGTTGTTTGGCAGGCCAAAATTTTTGCCAGAAAAATTGAGTTATTATATTAATGCTATGTTTGGTTAGTTGTGAAATATATGTGGGAATGTGGAATAAAATTACAAAACTACCCATCCTGTTTGAAAATTTGTTAAACTATTCCTTTTATAATAGGGTTGTGTGTGTCCAAAATTTTTAAATGTGCTTTTTATAGGGTAGGTTAAGAATCTTGGTTCTTAGATAAAAAAAAAATACCACCTTTTGAATTGCATTTTTTTTTGCCAAAGTCCAGTTGAAAAAATTATTCATGGGAAACATTTTATACTGGTATTTTTTAATTTATCTCATACCAAACATGGTAAACCTATTTTCCCTACACCACTTTCCCAAAGATTCTATCAAAATCTTCATACCAAAAACCCCCTAAATTGAATAGGCTTCTTCTAGGATTTGAGTTCTCTTTTTTTGGTGTAAAAAAATTTAAGTGAGATTAGAAACTGGAATCCCACCAAAATCATGTAGTGGTGGATTCAAAATATATTTTTATATCTATATATTTAGTGTCAGGTTCATGACTCATGGGTAGCACCATCGAAAAACTTTTTTAAGGAAAATTTCTCTTCAGCTTCACTGGCTCTGCGAATGTTGGCCTTCACCTGAAATGCACTCTTTGCTGGATCCACAGCATGGGTCCTATCCACATCATTTTCAAACTCCGAAGGAAAGAACCTCTACGAAACAAAATAATTATGATAACAAGCTCAAACTATGTTTCTATGTCAATCAATAGTTACTACTGAAGCATCCACAACAGCCTTCAAATTAGAAGGTGCAAGATCACGTTTCAGTATTATATTACAACGTCTTGAAATCTACAATCATCAAGGGAGAAACAAATTTGTGTCTGCACTTGCAGATAGTGACACAAGTGTAGGTCCGCCAATAGGGTCAGGAAAAATCTTGTATCTTTTTCATGATTTTCGGGAGGGATTACATATTACCAACTAAGTTCTTACATTGGCTAGCGAATTTTAAACGCACACCCTTGTGAGATATGAACTACACCCTTAACCAACTGTGCCAACCTTTGTTGGCATTTTCTTCTTTAGATAATTGTTGATTTTTTTTTATAACATGATATACTTTTGGAGGAAAATGTTGAAAGTTTTTTTTTTATAGGAAAAGTGAATGTTATATATGAAAATATTTTACCAAGTCATTTATGAATTAATAGTAACCGTTGATGAATGCATACATTATCATCCCCTTAAAATGAATATATGAAAAGTGAAACTGGTGGATATAAGGATTTGGATCTTCTTACGTGAAAAAGTGATCGTATAGTCATATCATGTTATCTGATCACAATCATTTATTGATGATGAAATAAGAGAAAAAAATATATATAATTTTTAAATGAATAATTATAATCACATGATTACTTTTTTATATGAGAGAATCCGCTCTCTTGTGGATGTAGTGTTGGAGTCATCACATAATTTGTAAGATGTTGATAAAACTTGTTTCGTGTGATATAACATTCTTTTCTTTTAATTGATTCTTCATATACGGAATTTTTTTAATAATTTAATTTTGTATCATTTTGTAACTCCATTATTAGCACTTGTGGTAGAGCAAATTTGTGTTGGAAAAAGGTTTGTGGTGGAGCAAATTTGTGTTGGAAAAAGACCCGAATGAAGAATTTCAATTGAGATTGACATCACCTGGTAAGAGTAACGTTGTAAGAGGTTTTGTTTATTTTTTATTTCTTTTAAAAAAATAAAAAATGTTGGGTACAATTATATATTTTATTTTGAAGGGTGATGTAATGTAGCAATCAAGACTTATTATTATCCCTTAATCCTAATTATTTATTATTAGATTAGTTTATCATTATCTTAGTTGTTAAATTATCTTATTTATATTATGAATGTTATTAATTTTAAATTAAGATTTTTGTATATTGATTATAATTGTAATTTTATAAATTATTAGCTTCCAATTCTAGCTGTAGGACAAGAAATCACATTCCTTATTTTTCTTTACTTTTCTATATTATAATTTTTGAATTCATTATAAGCAAACCAATGCGGAGTGAAAAGTGAACTTGGAACTCTCTTGCTCCTCCCCAATTCTTCCATGCTTTTTTACCCGTTTTATACAAGTTTTATGAAAGTTTAATATAAAACTCCTTGTTAGTTATACTTATCAACGTACTCTCTACCTTATCGCTGTATATGATAAGGTGGTAAGTGCTAACTATTTTTGAGAATCTCGAACCCTCTCTCTTTTGCAATCGGCATCAAACTAAAAAATTTAAAACCCAATCTTTAACTGTCTATTTCGTGAATCTAACCGTTATAATTTATTATATCATATTTATTGATTTATTTATTAATTTTTATCAATCTAACGGTTATAATTTAACGATAATTAATAATTTGGCTTTAATGTTTCTATAGTGAATGTAGATAAGTTATCTACATTTATTCTCAAAACAACATCGTTTTATGTTGAAAAATTAAAAAATTATAATGAAAAATACTATTATAACCCTGAAATAAATTATAATTACAAAAATACCTTGATTTCTGACTCAAAACGACGTCGTTTTGGACTCAATGTAAATAAGTTATCTACATTGACAGTAGAAAAAGCGAACCCTAATAATATATTAATAAATATAATTCAATAAATTATAACTGTTAGATTCACGAAATAAACAGTTAAGATTTGATGTCAAATTTTTAATTTGACACTGGTGTGAAAGGATCCTACCCCATATATAGATAGGATCAACTTACACTGGTGTAAAAAAAATAAGTCTTACACTAAATCTTAACCGTTGATTTCCATACAAATAACGGTTAAGATTTAGTGGATTATATTAATTAATTGATTAATATCAACAATAAATTTTAACTGTTAGATGCACGAAAATCAACAGTTAAGATTTGGTGTAAGACTTACACCGGTGTAAGAACAATAAATCTTACACTTAATCTTAACCGTTATTTTTTGTAAATTTGATGGTTCTAATTTGTTGAGAATTAATAATTAACTAATGAAAATTAAAGGTGGCAAATTGGACGGCCCGCCTCGCCATAAGGCTGCCAAAAAATGGGCTGGCACGCCCCGCCCTGTTTGGGTGAGTTGGGACAGGCTGCCCACAGAACTGATGACGTTTTACATTAAATAAAATATTCAGCCCAAGCGAGCTAGCGAATTGGCGGGCGGGCTCGATGTGCCGAGCTCATTTTTCCACCTCTAATGAAAATAACTCAATCAATTATTGTCGTTTGATTGACGGAAATCAACGACTAAGATTAGGTGTAAGACTTACTATTCTTACATCAATGTAAGTTGATAATGTCCATATACATATATATGGGATAAGATCCTTAAATTTTGAAATTTGATACCAAATCCTAACCTTTAATTTTCGTCAATTAACGGTTATCAGTTTTTTAGAATTAATATTAATTAATAAGTTTGATTTCCAAATTAGCGAAAATCAACTGTTAAAATTTGGTGTCAAATTTTAAAGTTTAACACCGGTGTCAAAAGATCCTCTGCCTATGTATATAGGTTCATTTTTTCTGCAGTAAATGTAGATAAGTTATCTGCATTGAGCTCAAAACGACGTCGTTTTGGGATAAAAATTAAAGTATTTTTGTAATTATAATTTATTCCAAGGTTATAATAGTCTTTATCATTATAATTTTTGAATTTTTCAACTCAAAACGACGTTGTTTCAAGAGTGAATGTAAATAACTTATTTGTATTTAATGTGTGTATATATATATATATATATATATATATATATATATATATATATATATATATATATGGGCTTATCGTTTCTCAAGCTGCTTGAGATAATCTTATCTCCGGCTACTAAATCATAACCGTACAAAGATGGATCAATGATGATAAAGGAAGAGAGAAAAAGGAAATCATAACCATTCAAAGGCGAATCAATTAATATAAGAAAATAAATAAATAAAACGACGTAATTTTGAGATAGCCGGAGATAAATATATATATGAAAAATATTTCTCAAGTTGCTTGAGATATATTTATCTCTAGCCAGCCCAAAATTATGTCGCTTTATTTATTTCTTTATATTTATTGATTCATCTTTGAATGATTATGATTTTCTTTTTTTCTCTCTTCCTTTATCAACATTGATCCATATTTGTATGGTTACGATTTAATAGCCGGAGATAAAGTTATCTCAAACAACTTGAGAAACGATAATATATATATATATTTATATATGTGTGTGTGTGTTAATCCACCATAGTAGTTACCTCAGGTAGCAGCTTTGGTGCAACAGGCCTGTAAGGCCTTTTCATCCACGAGAAGAGTGACACGTGTCTCGTCCATGGTAGCTAAAAACTTCAGCAACTATAGTGCCGTGGCAATTTGGAAAAAAAATTACCCTACATTTAGATATATTATTATGAAAAATGGGGCATTACGGTAAATTTCCTAGTTATAGGATATATCTTTGCATTAAAAGAAAACACTGAAGTTGGGCCATGAGCTATTTCGTAAGCTAGTCCCACATCACCATGGACCCCATATTGCTCTGAAGAATAGGGCAAAGGACCAACGAAAAATGTGTATTCAGGTTCACAATTGTAAGCCAACCTACATTTTACCCGGTCTTACATCTTTATCCATCACTCGCTCCCTCATCCAATTTGTTCTCTCACTCTTTCCGTCCTCTGATTAACTATTACCAGTCACTGCCATACTATATATATCAAAACAAAATACAAGTTACACACACTTGGAAGCAGGAAAACAATACATCCCACTTTAGCTTAACAAAATATAACCAAGAACACCACATCTTGTTACAGATATTAATTTAAGCATCACCCTCTAGATATAAATATAAAGTGCAAACAAACACATTGTGATCCCCTTATCAATTGATTAAGAGATCAAAGAGAATCACAGGGAAAGAATAATTAACATCAAGATGGTTCTGCTAGAGAAGCTGTGGGATGATGTTGTGGCTGGCCCTCAACCTGAGCATGGCCTTGGCAGGCTTAGGAAGATCACCAGCTCCCAACCCCTGAGTATCAAAGGTACCTTTCTATAATATTGGTATATTTTCATACAAATGATTTTATTATATCTCTTAGCATACACTTTACACATGATTTTTTTTTTTTTTTAATATGGATAATATACAAGCCTTTTTTTACCGTGTACTTCAAATTAACTTTTTATTTCATAAATGAGGTTGACGAAAATTCAACTCTAATTACTTGGCGATACCTGATAAGATTGAAACCCCCTATGTGACTTACAATATCTCTTAAGTGGTGCATAAGCTTGAGAATTATTACTCTTATTATTTTATTTTTTTCTGGGTGTAGATGAAGGAAGCATGTCCCACGGGACAATGTCTATGCCGGGGACACCGACAACCCCAACAACACCTGTGTCAGCGCGTAAAGTTGACAGCGTTTGGAGGAGCGTGTTCCATCCTGGAAGTAACTCGGCCACAAAGAGTATTGGTGCTGAGATGTTTGATAAACCACTACCCAATTCTCCCACTGTCTATGACTGGTACATATACGCCTTATATATTCTATTGCTATATATGTTGTGTTTTGGCTTCCAAACTTCAAACCTTGAAATTCATCGCTCATTGCACACATATTCAGTTCTTAGCGCGTTTTGAAGAAAGTAACTACCGAAGATAAATGATACTGAATGCTCCCAAATAACATTATTTCAGATTATGCCATGCATGTTGGTAAATATATATTTTATAGTATTATAGGAAAAAAGGCTGATTTATCGTTGATTTTTTATCCAACGGCTGTGGATCTGTGTTGCTTGTGCTAAAATAAATTGGGTTATATGTGATGGCAGGCTCTACAGCGGTGACACAAGGAGCAAGCATCGCTGAGGAGTACCTGAGATGAGATACTGACTGAGTGAGCTTTGTTTGGTTTTTGTGATGAGATGTAATTTCAAGTCCAATACTTGACGATTAATATGCTTTGCTATCTTCAGTTTTATACTTTTAGCCCTGTCAGTCATCAACTTTTGGCAACGTTTAAGGGAAAAATTGATTTCATTGAATAGTAAATTGATTTATATGTAAATGAGGCTCTTATCTAAAAGAGCAAGAGGAGATTTTAGAACATTATAATATATCAAAATATTTCAAATAATATTTATATTCTTAATACTCTCTCCCAAGATGAAAAGTGAACTTCCATCTTGAACAAGACTAATTTTAATTTTAAACTTTTTAGAGAAAATAATTTTATTTGAAAATGAATCCGCATTTTCACACGATTTAAGATAACATAGGTTGCGTAACTATACAAAAATCCATATGATGTATACAATGCCTGAAGATGGAGAATTATACAACAACATGGATTGAAAATTTAAAATGGATTCGTTGAAAAGTACTTAATATATTGTGAAGTTCGAAAAATATATTAATTTATTTTTTAAAATAATGTCTCTCTCTTTTTTTTGTTGGTATAATCTGAAAGGTATATCTATTTAACCTCTTCTAGTCATCTTTTTCAGTAAAAAAAATAACACCGAATTAAATAACAAGAAGAATAACTATCAAAATATATTTATTTCTTTTGAAAATAATGTCACTCTCCTATGTTAGATTTTTACTCTTTTTAGAGAACAATAACTAAAGCACAATAATATATACAAACATAATGTCCCGTGCAAAAAGTAACACCGAATTCAAAAAATTGAATAAATATAAACTACCAAAATTAAATAACAAGAAGGCAAGCTACTTTTCCTATTTTAGTTTTAATGAAGTTTGACCAAGTAAATGTGAAAATGTAGCCCAACGTAACATGATGATGACATTCAAAATTTAGACTTTTCAAAAGTATTAGGATGGACCCACCACCCAAGTTATTATAGGTACAAAATAAATAAATAAATAAAAATTTCTTTTCCAAAAATGAAGGAACATGACAGTCGCCATATATCTTTACCGTTTTCGAAAGTCGAACAAGCCCATCGAAATAACATATATATGACCAAATCCAGCTTTGGGTTTTTTCTTAAAAAGAAAATAGCCCAGATCACTAAACCCAACCTCTACATTTTTTAAAACCTAATACAAGCATCTTAAGAAAACAGATCGGAAGACTTCGGGTAGAGAGATTTCACACTTACCTGCAGCGGGAAGATGCAGACCGGTGGATTGGCAAGGTGGTGCGCACGGTGGCAAGCGGACTGTGCGCGGTGGAATAGTGATGTGTGCGGTGGCACGCGATGATTGGGGTAGGTGGTCAAGGCAGCAGTGTGCACAGTGGCACGCAGTGAATGGGTATGACATTTATCCTAAAAAAAAATAGATGTCGACACACATTCTTATACGTTTTAATATTAAATAATATTTTTATTTATATAATGTATTTTTTTGTCCATCCTCTTTTCTCATAATTGATTTCTCTCTCATTTAAAATAACATAACTTTAATACTTTAAAATGACACACACTTTTTTCTTTCATTTAATATTCAATAATTAAATAAAAAAATAAAACTAAATTAATAATATCCATCAACATGTTATCTTTCAACTTTCTTTTCCAAACCAAAACCACATAAGAAAAATTGATTTAAAATCGGAATCCAGAGTGTTACATAAAGGGAGAAAAAAAAACAAAAATCAGATGTAACCAATGACAACAATAACAAAAAAATACACCTAATACCAAGAATCGTAGCAACGTTCTTCACAAAAGGCAAAAACATAAACTAAAAGAAAAAGAATCAAATCTAAAATTATTTACTGAATACACTGTAAAATAAAAGAACATCAAGAACACAATCAAAAATTATAAAGGTGGAAGCTTTTATAAAAAAATATACGAGAGAGATCAGATCAGATTAGAGAGAGAACTTAACAGGAATGACAACGATGGTGATGAGATGGTCTATTATCTACTTAAGGGGAAAATGGGGGAATTGATATGATCAGGTGGAAGCTTTATTAATATATTTTAATTTTTAAAAAAATAATTTTTTTTAAAAAAATATAATATTTTTGTGAAAATGCCATTTGAGCGTGCCAGACAAGGTCAAATTCGCATGTCGAAATGGTCAACCTGTCGGGAATATTGACCGCGTGCTGGCACCGTGTCGGCATGTCGGACACAACACTCCTTATTTTTTGGAGTGTCCGTGCTTCCTAGCCAATGGTCGAGGTCGCGTGCGTGGTGGCAAGGCAGTTGTGCTCCGGTCGGTGACACACACCTTTACCGTGTTGGATTTTGTTGGATTTGGGTTTATGGGTATTTGAATTATAAGAAGCTTGCAGTTTCTCTCCTAGTTTCTTTCCTTTTCTTTTTTACTTCTCAAGAGTAACTAGAACTAAAAAGTCCCATCTTCACTTTGCTTCAGCATTTTTTATAAAAAAAGAAAAACAAGAAGCCCCAACATTTTTCTTGGAGTTGATGGTTTAAAGGAAAAGTTGGGTTCTCCAATGTATTGCAAGACAATCAAGCGGCTGATTAGTTATGGATCTTCTCCAATTCCCTCTTTTGGAGCAAATTTAATGTGCTCCTGCGCACATGGTCCAGGAAAAGAGACAAAGACAGAGAAAGAAAGAGAGAGAAAAAAAAATATGAGGAAAGAGGAGAGGAGAAAGAGGGGGGATCATTGAATTAATTCCCCTCTTTTGGGCATTCCTTCAAGTCCTCATTTCATACTTGTTTCTATTTTTTGTCGTCTTTCCATGTCATAATAGATTGAGATGGCTACAATTGCGATGCCTTGTCTGGGTAAAAGAGTTTATAGCCTTGTATTAATGGGGATGGAATGTCTTATGGGTTCATATTTCCCATGTCTCCAGCTGACCATATTGCAGTCAAATGCTATAGTGTGACAGGCTTCTTTTCCATTATGTGCATTTCCACCTTCTTCTAAGCAAAACTTTTGTGTAAATTTTGTCAATCACTCAAAACAAAATATCCGCACTAAGTTGGGTTGCAGGTTGAGTGTGTGGAAGTGCCTTTCTTTTATTTTTTTCAAGATACATAAAATAAAAAGATAGGACATATGATATTTATAGCTATGCATTTAGAAATTATAAAAAATATTTATTTTGCCTTATTCAAGCTGGATCCACTATCATGCACCTATTTATTTTTTCAGATCATGTCGAGTCCTCTGTTCCGCACCTGTTTATTTTTCGAGCTCAAGTCGAGTCCACTGTCCGGCACCTGTTTATTTATTCAGCTCAAGGTGGATCTGTTTATTTTTCGAGCTCAAGCCGAGCCCACTGTTTAGTAGTAGTTTTTTTTTTTTAGCTCAATCCAGGTCCCATGTCCCGCACCTGTTTATTTTTCAAGCTCAAGTTGGGCCCTTTGTCCTGCGCATATTTAGTTTCCTGCTTAAGCTGAACTCCCATCCCGCATTTTATATTTTCTATTCAACCCGAGATTCCTGTCTCGCAATCATTTATCTTTCGTGTTCAAGTCGTGTCCTTTGTCCCACACCTTTTTATTTTCCTGCTTAAGTCGGGATCCCTACCCCGCATTTATATTTCTTGTTCAAACCGGGATCTCTATCTCATCATTATTTAACTTTTGGGCCACGTATTCGTCTTTGGTTGCTATTAAAGTTCCCAAGCTTATTGATATTTAATTTTCGAACTCCCATGTCCGTCGTTGGCCAATGTTAGAGCTCTCACGCTTGCCGTTATTTAATTTTTGGACCCTTGTGTCCGTCGTTGATCGTTGTTAGAGCTCTAATGCTCGTCGTTATTTAACTTTTAAGCCCCCGCGATCATCATTCTTTATCTTTACCATTTTAGAATCCATAACCCGCACCGATTTACCTTTCTTAGGACAAAATTGGAATTCTCGTCTTTACTTGTTATTTACAAAATTGGAATCCATAACGCACATAAAAAATTAATAAAAAAAAGGCAATTGTGAATGCCATATTTTGTCTTTATATATATATATGATCAACTTACACCGATGTAAAAATAACAAGTCTTACACCAAATCATAACCATTAATTTCCGTGCATGTAACGGATAAAATTTATTAGTTATATTACATAATTAATTATTATGATCCAACTAATCTTAATCGTTAGCTGCACAAAAATGACCAGTTAAAATTTGATGTAAGACTTCTTATTATTACACCGATATAAGAATAATCTATCTATATACATATATACATACATATATATATATATATATATATATATATAACGATAAATATTTCTACAACCACTTTAGATAAAGTTATCTACAACTATTTCTTTTTAACTAAGTCTGATCGGTCATACATAAAAATTACATTTTTTCTCTCTGCCATGTCAGCCCACAATGTCTCAAGAGAGAGAAAAAAAGGACAGCTTTATTGTTATAACAATGTATGACTGGTCAGACTTAGTTAAAAATAGATAATTGTAGATAACCTTATCTAAAGTGGCTGTAGAAATACTTTATACACACACATATTTCGTAAGTGGAAGAAGGAGAATGATACCCGCAAAGATTAAGCAGTTTTTACTATTACACTACTTTTGTAATGCACTTGGAGGAACATGGTGTTATCTAGTTTTACATTTACTACTATACTGTTCCAAGGGTGTTTGCTTGACCTTTTGAAAACAAAAACTGTAACATACATAACTCATCAAGTAGAGTTCTTACCTGATGCTAATCTAATATTGGTGAGTGATTAATAGATTTCATGTTCTTGTATTCAAACATCACAATTTCCTATTGTCTTAGTTATTCTCTCATGCTTACAATTTATCTAGGTTACTAGAGAAGGAAGGATAACTTTATCAGGAAAAATACAAAGACATTCTCAGGATAGGCACTGATTTTATGGAACTTGAAGGTGCACATAGAACTGCTTTGTCTTCAATTAAGTCCTTAGAGAGAA